TTCTTCCCCATCGGTTGTCGGTTCTTCGAGCTATATGGCCGGCCCACTGCCACTTCAGCTTACTAATCCGTTGGGCTATGTCGGTCACTCTGGTTCTACTGCGGATATCCTCATTCCTAAGTTTATCACGCAGAGAAACTCCGAGCATAGCCCTCTCCATAGCTCGCTGAGCGACCTTGAGCTTCCTCATACGGCCAGCAGTGAAGGACCACGTCTCAGTTCCGTAAGTCATCACTGGCAACACGCACTGGTTGTACAATTTCGTTTTAAGGTTTTGAGGTATGTCTGACGAGAAGATGTGTCGTAGCTTCCCGAACGCTGCCCAGCCGAGTTGAATCCGTCGATTGACCTCTCGGTCGAAGTTGGACTTACCCAGTCGGACTATTTGTTCCAGGTAAACATACTCGTCAACAACTTCGAGCTTAGTGTTCCCAACAACTATCGGCATAGGTGTGACATGGACATTAAACATGATCTTAGTTTTGTCCATGTTCATCTTAAGACCTATCCGTTGGGAAACACTATTGAGGTCATTGAGCATAGTGCTTAGGTCCTCCAGCGATTCTGCCATTAGGACTATATCGTCGGCAAATCGAAGGTGAGTGATGTACTCGCCATTGATGTTGATACCGTATCCTTTCCAGTCCAGAAGCTTGAAAACGTCTTCCAATGCAGCGGTGAAGAGTTTCGGGGATATGACGTCACCCTGTCTTACACCTCTCTGCAATTGGATAGGTTTCGTACTCTGGTTCTGTACTCGGATAGCCATCGTAGCCCTACTGTACAAGCACTTCAACACTTCGATATACCGACAGTCAACTTGGCACCGCTGAAGGGACTGCAGCACCGCCCAAATTTCGACGGAATCAAAGGCTTTCTCATAGTCCACATACGCCAGACATAGTGGCAAATTGTACTCTTCGGACTTCTGTACAACTTGCCGAAGGGTATGTATGTGGTCTATGGTGCTAAAGCCCTTTCGGAAACCGGCTTGTTCGGGAGGCTGGAAGTCGTCAAGTCTGCGCGCGAGACGATTCGTAATGACTCTTGAAAACAGCACGTAGACGCGGCTCAGAAGGGAAATCGGTCTGTAGTTCTTCAAGAGAGCGTTGTCACCTTTCTTGAAGAACAAGACCACCGCACTTCTGCTCCACGCCTCCGGTGTAATGCCACCATGGAGGACGGAATTAAAGAGCTTCTGAAGGACTTCAAGTACCGGTCTTCCACCCGCTTTCAGAAGCTCCGCTGTAATTCCATCCTCGCCTGGGGCCTTACCGTTTTTAAGGTGCTGGAGAGCCATCCTAATCTCGCTCAGACTGACATCCGGGATATCTTCGGAATAGTGTCGGATGAGACTCGCTCTTGGATCGTTACTCACACTTGCGTGTGGCTCCAACGATGATGTGTACAGCTGCCCATAGAACCTCTCAATCTCACTCAAAATCTCAGGTGTCCCGGAAACGATGCTGCCACATTCTGTCTTCAGCTTTGACAGTTGGCTCTTTCTGGCAGACAGATCTCTGGCAAAGACTTTGGAGCCTTGGTTCCGCTCGATCGCTTCTTCAATACGAGCTGTATTGAAGTTGCGTAAGTCCCGCCGCATGCATTTGGAGATCTGTCTGTTCAGATGCCTGTATGCTGTCAAGTCTATTGAAGAATGTAGCTTCATCTCCCGTCTAACAGCCATGAGATTAAGAGTGTGATCGGAGAGTTTTTGTGTTCTTCTGCGGCGGGTCTTGCAGAACTTAGCTCCAACCGCATGGACAGTTTCCACGAGCTTGTCATTCATATCGTCCACTTCATTGCAGTCTTCTAGGCACTGAAAACGGTTTTGTAACTCGAGCTGAAAGGTTTCGGGACTTTGAAACAGAGCACGAGGGGGACGGAGCGTTGACTTCATTAGACGAGACCTCTCCAACTTAACGTTTAGGTTCAGTGTGCCTCTAACCATTCGGTGATCGCTACCAGTTTTCACCCTCGCGATCACGGAGACATCACTGAACAGTTGTCGTCTGGTCGTCATAATGAAGTCAATCTCATTTTTTGTGGAACCGTCGGGGCTCGACCAGGTCCACTTCCTGTGGGGCCGCTTCTGGAAGAAAGAGTTCATCATAAAGAGTCCCTCTTTCTCCATGAAGTCGGCCAGCTGCTGGCCCCTTGGGTTCCGTTGCCCTATTCCAAATTTCCCTACTTTCAGCTCACCGTTCTCTCTTGTGCCTAGTTTTGCATTGAAGTCTCCCATTAACACCGTATATTGGGTTTTGGAGGAATGCATGGCTCTAGAGATATCCTCATACATTTCCTCCACCTCCTCATCGGGGTGTGCCGAGGTTGGTGCGTAAACCTGTATGACCTTCAGCGAATACCGTTTGGTGATTCTGAGTATAAGGTACGCAACCCTCGTCGACACACTCCCGATTTTTACAACGTTGTTAACGAGAGACTTGTGGACGATAAATCCGACACCTCCTTGGGACAGATGGTCGCCCTCCCGGTGATAGAGCAAGTTGCCGGATTCGAGGATTACCGTGTCCTCCCCCTCTCTTCGGACTTCAGATAATCCTATAATATGCCAGCGCAACTTGTCTATCTCTTCTTCCAGCTCCACGATCTTCTCGTCAGTCCTCAGGGTGCGTGCGTTGTACGTTGCCAGGTCGAGTCGTCTAAGGTGGCAACCGAACCTCCACCGGAGATTCTTAGCACCCCCTGCCCCGCCGTTACCATGGTCGCCACCGTAGCCAGGAATAGCAGGGCCGCCGGGGACTGGGGGCCGTTTTTTTTGTTGCTCTCATCATTGGGGGGTATTTGCCATAGTTGCCACGCTTGGCGAGCGGGTTGGCAACCGCAGTTTTTTTATTGTCATTTGGCTATTATCAGGAAGATGCTGCTGCCCATCTCCTGGCTGTTTCCCTTTGTCGCCTTTTACGACACCCACGGGAGGATATGGGGTAGTGGATATTCTTGACCGCCACTACACGGCACGTTCGATGTTTAGGCTACTCAAAACATCGATGTTGACCATTATCGATGGTTTTTGTATGTGTAGATACTTACACATTGTTTCAAAATTATGTGGGTATACACAGCAAGGGAAAAGTAACAATTAACTTGAATATCAATTTACGTAGAATAGTAATTATGCGACAACCGACAACGACACTACAAAATAAAGCGAAAGCAGTGACCATTGTGACATTACAGGAGACACTTGACAATTAAGTTTGACTCACCATACTGACATTTTTTTAGGTTAACGATGCGTTCAGAAATTCTGAATTATTCAAAATTTTTAATCTTCAGAGCAGATGCAAGATTTAGTTGATATTGATTTCGCGAGTTCGCATTGTTTGCAAGTTCCCAATTATCGATTATGGGTTCATTGACGTCGATGTTTCGATGTTTGACATATGTCAACATAGATGTTAAAACATCGAAGTTTTAATTTTTAACATCGATGATCATTTAACATCCCTATTTTAAGTGTGTTTCCCACTCAGAGTGTGTTATGAGACGATCGTATATAAAGCGCAAGGTCAAAATTTACGCGTTGCAGGAGTGGACCTCAGTACTGATTGTTTTGCACATGGCCAACTCTATGTTGCTTTTTCCCGCGTTAGTAGTCCCCGTAACCTTTTTCTGTACGCCCCGGCTAAGTTTATATCTATCGAACTTTGAGTATATAGATTATTTTGTTACCACTTATTCATACAGTAATGATATAAATCGTTTAATATTCTCTTACCCTAAACGTCAAATTCTTTAAGTAAAACCTATATTCGCGAGCTACGCCGCGGGCACAGCTAGTGTACAAAAAGTTGATAAACTAATATAGTGAAATAATAGCAGAAGTTTTCAATTGGTGAACGGCGACTGGAGGGGTCGCACATTTTGGAGAAAAGCAGCGTCTACATCGGGGATGTCAGGTTACATTTATACACACTTTCGCACACTACTTACATACACCTCACTTAACACCTGACTGGTACCCTGCGGTCAACCCTACCTCCGGAAATCGGTAAGTATTGTTGCTTGTCAGCCGTCTTAGAATAATTAACCATAGGCCATTGGGCCCGAGCCCTCGGCTGCTCGTCGAGGAGGCTACTATGGGCCCTAGCCAAGTCGACCTTTGCCGGGGCAGCTGGGGGCCGTAACATTTTCTGGTAGCAGAGCGTGGTTGATTGTTTCTACAATCAAGCCCGGCCGTAATACGTAATAATTTTTTTTGTTTGCTTCCTTTGTTAGCGGATAGGTGGGTAGAATTAGGAACCACGTCCGTTAGGTTGCGCAAGCGGGAGTGTAGTTTAGGGTTAGGTACCACGCGTCGGGTAGGTAGATAATTATCGTTATCACATAATGGTATAATTATCGTTATCGTATAATTATAGTAGATTAATTGCCGAAGGGTCGTAACACTTATATTGTTTATACATAACTATACTGTGCGTTCGGTTACGGACTAGGGATATTCTAGGTACTTATATTACAACTATTTTAATACACAAATGCACTCACTACACACTGAGGTCTAATACCCTTCCCCTCTACAAACACAAGCTAGTGATACAAATCTCTCGACTCCACAGAGTCAGTAATTCATTCTTGGGGCAATGTATACGCTATTAACAAAGTCCCAGAAAATATACAAGGTCTCTTGCATTTTGCATTTCATTTGCATGAAATTTTGTATAAATAATATTTTACTTTTCAAGATTATCTAGAGACAAGTGTCATCCCTGAGAAAAATATATTTTTTCTAACGCTAGCAAAGCACAGTCGCCCACTCGTATATAAAAGTACTCTGTGGTCGCACAGTTACTGCTGGTTTAATCACAGTATCATAGACAGACTCATTTCTTAATCTTTTCATCATCATTATAGCCCGTCACAAGTCCACTGCTGGACATAGGCCTCTCCAAAAGAATGCCGCAAAGCATGATCCTGAGCCACCTACATCCATCGACTTCCTGCATGAAATAATAATCTACACTTGATCTTTTCAGTTATCGTCAAATAGCGGAGCCCGAAGAACGCAAGGCAGCAGGGAACTCTCCTCGCATGGGATTACAAATGTCGTTGCGTTCGGAACCCGGCGGCGTAATTTCTTTAAACGATCCCGTATATGTTCCACAATAGTTTTTGGAGCATTTTAATCACACAACATTACGGCTAATTATTACTGTTATTCTTATATAGGTATCAATTTGCAATTTTTAATGCATGAATTTCTCTTTCTAATAAGTTTTACATACAAAAATTATGTGCCAACCAAGAATATTACTGTTTTTAAAATAAATTAAATTTTGGGGATATATTAAGGCTTTTATTTCGTTGAAATACGGTCTGAAGGACATTCTTCGTAAAGTTATTAAAGTTACATCCTATCATATATATATCTATTCCTGGGTACAAGTTTCCGTTTTTATTTTCTTCATATATAACGGAAAATAATGAAATTTGTTAAGTCACTATATTTTTGAATAGAGAATTCAAAGTTAATAAAATGTTTCAATATTGTGCATACGTTTATTTTTCATTCAAATACGCAGAATTTGCGCGCAAATGCCCTTGGGTAAATTACTTTCAACGGTAACCAGCATTCGAGCGAATGTACCTCCACCTGACCCTTTTGTGAGGTGCTCTGGATTCACAACCACGCAACCATTCACTTCCTGTAAAAATAGAAGAAAATGTTTAATTTTCCCACCAATAGAAATGAAGTGGCGTGTCTGACTAGTGTTTGCTTTTCTATACCTAGTTTTCAAGATCAAGAAATGCTATTAAAGAAAACAAAAAAAAAACAGGGTTATTTTTCAGACTATCGAAATTTTAAACTACAAGTTCAAATATATAAATAATGATATAACCGTTATTGAAGTTTTTGAAAATATGAGTAAACTTCTACTTTTCGAAATTATTGCGTAGTAGTATATAAACAGGCGTTAGATATTTATGAATGACAATCAGTTAAAATTATGCATTACCACGCATTTTGAATTTAAATGATGAAAAGGCCAGAATGTTTGTGATTATTTATAATTAATATTTCTTCACCATTTCTCTATATTACTTATTCTGAATCTTCTCTGCAAATTTGGCCGGTTATTGCAAAATAACCTTGTATACTTTAGGTTTAGTAATAACGCACCGCGTAAAAAAGCATATTCATTTAATTATAAAATATATTATGTAGTTCACAACTGGACATGGTCCTCTCATGTTTTAGGGAGAATTTGCTTTAATCGCCACGTTTCGAAGGCGGATTGGTGTTTGCAATAACAGACTACTGAGGCGCTGCTCCCCGTCACCGGCCTGGGTATTTTACGTATGACGTAGACTAAGTACATAGTTAGTAATAATAATAATTCTTTATAGTTTACATACTTTTTACAAATATATACAATACATCATGAGGACTAATTTGAAATGGGTAGAATCCTTTTGATTAGGAATACATAGTTATACCACCATCTATCAGATTCCATAAGATCTTTTTGATATCTTCCATAGTGGTCTCTACAACACCCACGGGAAGAAAGCGGATGATGGATTCGCTTACGCCACCACCAAACGGCCTTTTGCGGCTATTATTTAATAACAGTGGTTTAAATTATTAAGTTTAGTTGATAAAAAATTAAATAAGCTATGTTACCTCTATATGCCTAGTATAATAGGTACACTAATTTGATCAGGTTTTTTTTAAATCACGTATTTAGCAAGGATATTTAATTTTATGTTATCCTTTTTTATTGTTTGTTGACAAACAATTAAACAAACAAGTAAACACTCCATCTGATGGTCAGTGATTGGCTGTGGGCGAGGGTTAGTCTACTCCTAATTTTCACATTTTTACATTATAAGGACTAGATTAACCCCTATTCTGCTCTCCTGTCCGGCGAGCAGTTTGGCGAATGGCTCTGGGAGAGAGCGCAGGTCGTGTTGATCCCCAGGGCAAGTCTGAGGAGTTTTCCCTTCACGTGGTTTTCGGGTAGCCCTTCCCCCGGCATGCGGGGCTGTGCCGGGAGTGACCGAATTTTTCCCTAGCTACTCGTGGGACCAAAATGGACGAAGATTTAACGCCTTGCGAGGTAACAACAAGGTCGTTTTAAGATGGGTTCCGGGTCACGCGGGTATTGAAGGCAATAAAACTGCCGACAAGCTCGCACGGGACGACTCAAAGAGTACATAATATGGACCCGAGCCATTTTGTGGAATCTCAAAAAGGCTCGCCCGATTGACCCTGGAAACTCTACCACAATAAATCACCTGGTCTGATACATCAGGCTTAAAACATTCTAAAACCTTAATGCGGGCTTTTGATCCTAAATTCGCTTCGAAGCCCGTAAAAATAAATTACGTATTGTGGTAAGAGCTCTGAATGGACACTGTTGTCTTAAAAAGCGCATGTCCATCCTGGGACTAAGCAACTCAAGGATGTGCCGTTTTGCTCCCACGAGGAGGAAACGCCTTTATACATCCTGACAAATTGCGGTATCTTAATGCGCAAACGCAGCACTCATCTGGGAAACTATGTATCGCCAGAAGAAGTGAAATTACTCACAGCTAAGCAACTCCTTCTATTAATTGAGGACGTAGGGCTTAGCAGTGAACTGTAGACATAGTAGCGATCACAATAGATCTTTTAGGTCGCAGTGATACTGGTCTCTCTAGACTTGCATAGCTGCTCGTACATAATTTAAAAAAAGTGATTGCCTTGACCATAGACATCTACATCAATCCTCAACAAATAATCAAACTGCAGATGCGCTGTCACCCGTGAAGACTAAGATGGAATGCCTCTTTTCCAGTAAAAAGGGTGCTGCATCATGATTTTAAACTTTTTACACTTACCTTGACAAAATATCTGAAGTTGGAGGGTAGAACTAAAATGTGGGGAGTGCAAGGTAACTGAGCGTGGGCAGTCCACAGAGAGGCGTCCAAACACAAGCCGGGCGGTGGCGGCCACAAAGGATAATACGTTTGCTGCATAATTATGTGATTCGCTAATCGAGATAGTTTATCGCCTCCCATTCCTCTGTGAAATGTATAAATAAAAAATTTAAATTATATCCTTAATGTCCAGTGTTAATTTTCAAATAGCAAGCTTTAAATTGCTTTATACTATACACTAGTAAAAACTGGTAAGCTTACAGCCCATAATTTTTCTGGAAATACCATCTTTATGTGCATGTGGTGTCTGTATAACAAATAAGGTTCTGGCGGCCGAAAAATGCCAACATCAAAATGCTTAGAGAGCAAATTCGTCGAAGCCCTTGTCGGAAATTGGCCCTTCAAAACATAACACGAATATGCGTAGATAGGATGCTTAAAATATTATCTTAAACTGAAAGCCTACTGTAGAAGTAAAGCACAGTATTTAATCGAGTAACAACATAAAACGTGACGTAAATAAACGTTTCATGAGTCACAAACTCTCAAACGATTTCGGACCGTTTGAATAGACAAAAAAAAATTTGCGATAAGAAAATATTCACGGGGGAAGAAAGTTTAACAAGCAGAATGATCAAATTTATGCCAGAATTTTGTTAAACCCACGTATAATATAGAGATCAGACATTCTATTACCCCTGATCCCATAAATATATATTAATATACCAACAAATTGCACAAATACTAATGTAAAGTCACATATTTCCACGGTATTTTTAATAAGTGGAATCAAGTAACTGGTATTACTAGCTAGTCAATTTGTACAGGGGCCCAGTGGCGGATTATTTTTAAGCTAGGCACGTGCCTAGGGGCGCAAGGCCAAGAAAGGGAGCACGCTCAAGTTTTTGAACGAAAAAAAATCGTATACTTGATTACTCCTACATCGCCTTCATTCTCTCATCACTATTTTCACGTTAATGATACGCGTATCCTAATTATTTTGCAACTAAACTGTATGAGTAATTAATAATATAGTTTATTTGCAAAAATGAGTAGTTTTATTTCATAAAATATCGCCGTCAGAGGCGCGCCGATAAGGTGTTAGTCTAGGGCGCTGTCGACATTTAATCCGCCTCTGCAGGGGCCGGAGGACGTTTTAAAGATACTAATTTATTAATTGAAAGATGTTTAATCGCTAACAGAACACGCTTAAAACTAACTTAAAATTGTAATCTTAAAACAATTGCATGAGAGCCAACGCAGGAACTTGACAGTTTCTGTTTGTCCACTCAGCATCTGCCTGTGGTTTGCATTCAGAACATTTTGCTGATGCGGACAGCTTGGTGGGCCTAGCCACTTGTAACAAGCTTGTGTTTGTTATTAGTATTCATAGCAAGTATATCTCTTCGCATTAAAGCTTGATTGCGATGAAAGCATATGAAAGCGAAATTTGAATTTGGAATGCACGAACACACGAAATATACTTACAATGAAATTTCCTCCTGACTAATATGCATAAGAACATCTGTGCTTGTGATTCCCAAAACAATGCCACTTATGTTCAGTGTACAGGGGTCTGGCACAAAGTGAATGTTAGGATGTTTTCGTCTGCTGGAGTATGGTGGCGTAGGGTAGATGTTGAGATGAAAAACATCTTTGCAGTTTGACACAATATATATTTTTGTGAATGGACTGCAAGTAAAAATAATTACAATATAATTTATTAATGCACGCGTTTTATAAAGTATCTAGGTTATTGTATTGACACATATAACAAACGACATAATATAAAATAATAGTTCTTTACTAAAAGAAATCGATTAAGATTTGTAGTGGAATCTTCTATTAATTTCAAAATTTAATAAAATTTGTTCCAGTTGGTGCGGCCTGATGCCATTCATTACTAATTGAAATGCCGTTAATCTATCTACACATAATTTACTAGTAATCATTTTATTAGATATGAATTTATTTATTAATTCTAAGAATACAGATATACATTTGAAAAGAATACAAGAAAAGAACAGCAATAAGTTCCTACTATAAATTGGACATGCTTCTATATTCTTACCTTGTCGTATTTAATTCTCCTAAGCTATCCAATAATTTATCAAAGAAACTTTTGTATGTCTCGGCCATTGTGTTATCTTTTACTTTAGTATGGTCACAATCCATGAATGGGCCAGTCATGATCACAACATGTGGTTTTTGCGTGCTGACATACAAAATTAAATCTTTTAAAGGTTCATATGCCATGTTGTCTGATGTTGTGTATGGTCCAGCAACTACCACCAACGACAAAGTACCTATAATGACAGTATCAAGCGTGTAATAAATAAATCTATCATTAAATATAAGGAAAATTTGTATTATACTTTAAGTAGGCTGATCCATAAGCTTTGCAATCTAAAGAGCCTAGCAATTTATTCTTACTTCAATCAAGTAAGACTAAATTGCGCGTAAATAACTATATATAGTTACTACTAAATAATTAATAATTAATGGAAAGCAGTCTAACTTCTGCCTGTTTAATCACATAATATGAAAAGGGCTTTTAAGTCAAGTGAGTTACGCATTTTGTAAAAACACTATACAACATGACGAATCTGGCAATATTTGATTATCATTTCATAAAGCAGAATAAGACGATAAAATCTATTGATTGAACATGAGGAGTGGCAAACAGCAATATTCAAGACAACCTTCACATCTTAAGATTTTAAGAACTCTATTACAAAACATATTATGTTTTACCTTTCAAGGAATTCATCATATCGGCTTTGGGGTCAGGTATGGGTTGTGAGGAGTCACAAAATACTTCGTGAGCTAGAAACCTGTCACCGCGAGGGTTAAGACCCCGCATCACAACCACTTGTCCGGGAAATAGAGAATACTGCTTCAAGCTGTTAAAAAAACAAATAGGGTATTACTATCAAAACTCAACGAAAACTCAACATATAGTTCTTTCTGGCTATAAAACAATTTAAAAGCACTGCTAGGCGTGATTACTAAAGGAGAATTTTATTTTACTTTATTCATCATCATCATTACAGCCTTTCATAAGTCCACTGCTGAACATAGGCTTCCCCCAAGGAATGCCACAAAGCACGGTCCTGAGCCACCTGCATCCATCGACTTCCTACACGTCTTACCAGTTCGTCACTCCATCTCGTGGGGGGTCGCCCTACACTTAACCTACCGGTACGAGGCTGCCACTCAAGAACCTTTCTTCCCCATCGGTTGTCGGTTCTTCGAGCTATATGGCCGGCCCACTGCCACTTCAGCTTACTAATCCGTTGGGCTATGTCGGTCACTCTGGTTCTAGTGCGGTATCCTCATTTCTAAGTTTATCACGCAGAGAAATTCCGAGCATAGCCCTCTCCATAGCTCGCTGAGCGACCTTGTGCTTCCTCATAGGGCCAGCAGTGAAGGACCACGTCTCAGATCCGTAAGTCATCACTGGCAACACGCACTGGTTGTATAATTTCGTTTTAAGGTTTTAAGGAATGTCTGACGAGAAGATGTGTCGTAGTTTCCCGAACGCTGCCCAGCCGAGTTGAATCCGTCGACTGACCTCTCGGTCGAAGTTGGACTTACCTAGTCGGACTATTTGTCCCAGGTAAACATACTCGTCAACAACTTCGAGCTTAGTGCTCCCAACAACTACCGGCATAGGTGTGACATGGACATTGAACATGATCTTTGTTTTGTCCATGTTCATCTTAAGACCTATCCGTTGGGAGACACTATTGAGGTCATTGAGTATGGTGCTTAGGTCCTCCAGCGATTCTGCTATAAAGACTATATCGTCGGCAAATCGAAGGTGAGTGATGTACTCGCCATTGATGTTAATACCGTATCCTTTCCAGTCCAGAAGCTTGAAAACGTCTTTCAATGCAGCGGTGGAGAGTTTCGGGGATATAACGTCACCCTGTCTTACACCTCTCTGCAATTGGATAGGTTTTGTACTCTGGTTCTGTACTCCGATAGCCATCGTAGCCCTACTGTACAAGCACTTCAGCACTGCGATATACCGACAGTCAACTTGGCACCGCTGAAGGGACTGCAGCACCGCCCAAATTTCGACGGAATCAAAGGCTTTCTCATAGTCCACATACGCCAGGCATAGTGGCAAATTGTACTCCTCGGACTTCTGTACAACTTGCCGAAGGGTATGTATGTGGTCTATGGTGCTAAAGCACTTTCGGAAACCGGCTTGTTCGGGAGGCTGGAAGTCGTCAAGTCTGCGCGCGAGACGATTCGTAATGACTCTTGAAAACAGCACGTAGACGCGGCTCAGAAGGGAAATCGGTCTGTAATTCTTCAAGAGAGCGTTGTCACCTTTCTTGAAGAACAAGACCACCGCACTTCTGCTCCACGCCTCCGGTGTAATGCCACCATGGAGGATGGAATTAGAGAGCTTCTGAAGGACTTCAAGTACCGGTTTTCCACCTGCTTTCAGAAGCCCCGCTGTAATTCCATCCTCGCCTGGGTTGTCGTTTTTAAGATGCTGGAGAGCCATTCTAATCTCGCTCAGACTGACGTCCGGGATATCTTCAGAATAGTGTCGGATAAGACTCGCTCTTGGATCGTTACTCACACTTGCGTGTGGCTCTAACGATGACGTGTACAGCTGCCCATAGAACCTCTCAATCTCATTCAAAATCTCAGATGCCCCGGAAACGACGCTGCCACACTCGGTCTAAGCCTTGACAGTTGGCTCTTTCTGGCAGACAGATCTTTGACAAGGACTTTGGAGCCTTGGTTCCGCTCGATTGCTTCTTCAATACAAGCTGTATTGAAGTTGCGTAAGTCCCGCCGCATGCATTTGGAGATCTGTCTGTTCAGTTGCCTGTATGCTGTCAAATCTGTTGAAGAATGTAGCTTCATCTCCCGTCTAACAGCCATGAGATTAAGAGTGTGATCGGAGGAGTTTTTGTGTTCTTCTGCGGCGGGTCTTGCAGAACTTAGGTCCAACCGCATGGACAGTTTCCACGAGCTTGTCATTCATATCGTCCACTTCATTGCAGTTTTCTAGGCACTGAAAACGGTTTTGTAACTCGATCTGAAAGGTTTCAGGACTTTGGAACAGAGCACGAGGGGGACGGAACGTTGACTTCATTAGACGAGACCTCTCCAACTTAACGTTTAGGTTCAGTGTGCCTCTAACCATTCGGTGATCGCTACCAGTTTTCACCCTCGCGATCACGGAGACATCACTGAACAGTTGTCGTCTGGTCGTCATAATGAAGTCAATCTCATTTTTTGTCGAACCTTCGGGGCTCGACCAGGTCCACTTCCTGTAGGGCCGCTTCTGGAAGAAAGAGTTCATCATAAAGAGTCCCTCTTTCTCCATGAAGTCGGCCAGCTGCTGGCCCCTTGGGTTTCGTTGCCCTATTCCAAATTTCCCTACTTTCAGCTCACCATTCTCTCTTGTGCCTAGTTTTGCATTGAAGTCTCCCATTAACACCGTATATTGGGTTTTGGAGGAATGCATGGCTCTAGAGATATCCTCATACATTTCCTCCACCTCCTCATCGGGGTGTGCCGAGGTTGGTGCATAAACCCGTATGACTTACAGCGAATACCGTTTGGTGATTCTGAGTATAAGGTACGCAACCCTTGTCGACACACTCTCGATCTTTACAACGTTGTTAACGAGAGACTTGTGGACGATAAATCCGACACCTCCTTAAGACAGATGATGGTCGACCTCCCGGTGATAGAGCAAGTTGCCGGATTCGAGGATTACCGTGTCCTCCCCCTCTCTTCGGACTTCGGATAATCCTATAATATGCCAGCGTAACTTGTCTATCTCTACTTCCAGCTCCACGATCTTCTCGTCAGTCGTCAGGGTGCGTGCGTTGTACGTTGCCAGGTCGAGTCGTCTAAGGTGGCAACCGAACATCCACCGGAGATTCTTAGCACCCCCTGCCCCGCCGTTACCATGGTCGCCACCGTAGCCAGGAATAACGGGGCCGCCGGGGACTGGGGGCCGTCTCTTTGTTACTCTCTTCATAGGGGGGTATTCGCTATGGTTGCCACGCTTGGCGAGCGGGTTGGCAACCACAGTTTTTTTTTTATTGTAATTTCGGCTACTATCAGGAAGATGCTGCTGCCCATCTCCTGCCTGTTTCCCTTTGTCGCCTTTTACTTTACTGAGAACACTAAATTAACTAATTTTATTAAATGAAGACTAAACATGTTTTGTGTTTAGGAGCATATTTCATATAGAGAGTAGTCTTAAATCAGGTGTTATTTTTATTAAATAAATAGCGTATTATAAAATGTAAAATAATGTAATAGTATACCTGTCCGTATCAACTGTAACAGCTTGGCTGAGTGATTCTTCCCAAGACCCTTGCAGAACTACACTTTTTGAGTTCAGTCGGGCATCTGCATCACATTCTATGCGCCCTGCCACAATGACTTCTGTCTATAAATAATATTTTTATATAGGTAACTAATACAAATATCTTCACATAGAAAATGAACGAAAATAAAACCATAATATAGTTTAGTAATTATAAGATAACTAGCTGGCCAGGCAGCCCTCTCCGACTTTGTCCTATAAAAATCCTTAAATTACCAATAAAAAATATTGAGGGTCACTTAACGGGATAAGAACTATGCTATCTCTCAAGTTGGACCAAACTGCACACAGTGTGCAAAATTTCATTGTAATCAGTTCAATAGTTTAGAGTTCATCGCGGACAAACAATGTGACACGTAATTTTTATATATAAAGATTATCAGAATAAGGCGTTACTTTGCGAAAATCCTTCATAATAACTTATGTTCAAATTAATACTGTATATAATATTTAATACATAAATAATTATTTGTGAATATGAAATTTAAACTTGTATGTTTTGAAAAGTAGGCGTGAGCAACCTCGAAAACAGGTCTTCTGTTGATATTTTTTGATAATTAGTAAATTTTATAATAACAAAAAATAAATTTTATAATAATATAAGGAAACCTTTAGATTTTAATCAAACCAAACTGGTCCTTAAATTATTTATGGTAGGTGAACATGAAACGCATGAGAAATCTTATGTACTAGAAGCCAAAGATAATTTTTGTAAGTCACGTCATGTAGACCAAACCAACCAGCATTTGGCTTCCAAATTAATTTGATGGCTGGGCTAAGGATTTGATTGTGGCGATACGGGCTATGAGTTCGATACCCACACGGAAGAGGTAAATTTGTAATGTCTCATAGTTTCAGGCTAAATGTTTGCCTAAGTACAATGATATAAATTATTTCATAACTAAAATTAATGACATAAAATGTAAATTAAAAATTCAGCTAGATTAAGTAAGTGTTCCTCATAGGTCGGCAACTACGCCATGCATACGAAATAAGCACTAAAGATATTATAAAATTTTGGAAAAGTAAGGAGATATGATTTTTGTAAAACGTCACAACCATGCTCTTCTCCGTTGAATGATACAATATTTTCCTATTCGAGTTTTCCCAATCTAATAAAAATAGCTTCTCCTTCTTCTTTACCGACCAGTAAAAGACCACTGCTGGCCATATTCAAACACGCTTCGTTTTCTTTTACGTATCGTTTTGCAGTAAATGGAATACCTGTATAAAAACAAAATACCAGTTCCACTATTCATGGACCATTTAGTTTTTACATTTTAAGTTCATCCTTAAAATGAAAAAAATTAATGGTTATGTACGTGGTAGAGCCATGCTGCAGCTATATTAGTAGTATTGTTGTAGCACGAATGGGTCGGCTCGGCCAGGGAAGGTCCACGCTCTCACCGAATACCAGCGTAAAATGGCAGCTTGACACTGCTATGTTTCGCATGGTGAGTGTAGAGGAACCGGAGACCCATTATAATGGAGAAGAGGCATTCCATCTTAGTCCTCACGGGTGGCAACGCATCTGCATTTTGATTCTTTATTGAGGATAAATGTAGATGTCTATAGGTCACTGCAACCACTTACCATCAGGTGGACTGTGTGCTAGTTTGTCACCCCCTATCCTACAAAAAAAACCAACTGCTGAATGAATAATTCGTAAAATAAACTTTTATTACATGCACCACATACGACAGCGGCACTGAAAATTTCGGGAATCAAGGAAGTGACATAAACATTACTATTTAAAAATGTATTTATTGCTTTTCGAAGTATTCTCCGCGAAATTTGACACATTTTTCCATACGATGGAACCAATCATTGAAGCAACCATTCCATTCGGAAGTTGGGGTCTCCAAAATGGCCGTTTTGTAGGCGTCCACAGCTTCTTCAGGTGATGAAAATCTCTGTCCACGCAATTTAGAAATCATTAGGGCTTAGGTCGGGGCTGTACGACGGATGGTCTAATAATTCTATGTTTTCTTGCTCTAAAAACTCTTTTGTTCTGTGTGCGGTGTGAGAACTCCCATTGTCGTGATGGAGGATGATGCGGCGGTTGCAGTTCTCTTTACGGAGTTCAGAAACGACCTGTGGCAATCAAATGCTAGCATACCATTCTGCATTAACCGTTCTTTGTCCATCAAGAGGAATAGTCGTAACATGGCCGGTTTTGGAGACAAACGTGGCCACCATTTTTTTTGCAACACTACGTGATCGAACAATTTTTGTTGGCTTTAACTCATTTTCGAACACCCAAACTCGTGACTGGTTTTTTGTTTTGAGTTCGTACGCGTATATCCAGGATTCGTCACCTGATACGATGTTGTATACAGCATTTGAGGATCCTGTGTGGAATTTTTCGAGAGTTCTGACGCACCAAGTAACGCGAGCCGCTTTTTGCTCTTCACAGAGCGAATGCGGTATCCATCGGGAAAACAACTCTTTTACACCTAATTGTTCATGCAAGATTATTTGTATTTGACTCATGCCAATGTCTAAAGTTGCCTAAATTTCGCGGTATGTCACATGTCGATCTTCCTCAATCAGCTTACGCACAGTATTAACGTTTTCTTCGGTGATTGCAGTTTTTGGACGACCTTGACGGGGATCATCACTGAGCTTGACACGTCCACCGCCGCCTACATACAATTGTTAAATTTATTAAATTGTTTAGTTGACTTTTGTGCTTGTAACGATTTCGCGATGATTAAACGGTTCGGTAGAAGGTGCATATACAGTTGATTCAATCATTATAAATTTACTAGTGTTCTTTAGTTTCATCTCTAAGCCGATCGTTATGCAGCATTCAATTATACTTAATAATTACAACCATTATAAATTAGAAAGTAATTGCGTGTACTTTCGTATAATAAAATAGGAAATACGAGGGTGACACTTAAAAGTTCTTAGAAAATCAAAAACTGAACAAACTAGTAAGTTATCCTCCGTTAAATCTTTGAACCATTTTACGACACCAATCAACACGACGGAGTTTTTGGGCCTCTGTCAAATTATGAGGTATCCACCGAGCACAAAGCTTCCTGGCCGCTAAACGTTCATGGAGAATTTTGTGCACTTGACTCATACCGATGCCTAAGCTTGTCAGAATCTGCTCATAAGTTACTCTTTTTTCAGTCTCTATCATACGCCGCACAACACTGATGTTATCTTCAGTCGTCGCCGTATAAGGCCGTCCTTCACGCAGATCATCGGTGAGATTAGTGCGACCTTGTTTAAACTCATTAAACGAGTTGTAAACAGTGGTACGACATGGGGCTTCATCGTGAAAGGCCAATCGAAGTCTATCATAAGTTTTTTGTTGACTTAAATGACATCGAAAGTCATAAAAAATCATTATACGAAAATTTTCTCGCGTTAAATTCATGCTGACGTGACACAGACAATTTTCAAGTTGTCGCCCAAATCGTAAACAAATGACAAATTAATATATACATACATAATAATATTGACACAGTTCCATTTTCAAAATTTGAACTTATTTTTTTTATTATATAGTTTACAAGTAGCCAGTTCTAAAGACTTTCAGTGTCACCCTCGTATATGTAGATGTCTATGGGTCATAGTAACCACTTACCATCAGGTGGAATGTGCTAGTTTGTCATCCTATCCTATAAAAAAAAGGTAATAAAATTACATTGTGTAGTCAACCGATAATTGTTCAACAAATAAATCAAAACGCAATTGATATAGTTTTTCTTTATCAAGCAACTTGATTTGAAACCAATTTTTTCAGCCTCTCGGTATCCTACAGAATGTATTTTGGACAATGTGCGCAGGAATTATATTCCTCTATTCCCTCACCTTCGGATAACCAGACGGTCGGCGGGTTCACCCCTTTACTATCCACGCGATAATCTACGCATTTGAAACGGATTTCGTTTTTCGTCTTCATACAGAGTGGAGTAATTTGACGGAGTCTCTTTTTCTGTTACGGCTTTTGTTACTCTAAGACGGTGCTTAACGATGACTTATCATCTAGAGCTTCATCGCAACTTACCACTAGGTGGGATTGTACACAAACACTAGCTTAAAAATAACTACCGAGTTCTTGACATGAGCAGGCCTCTTGTGTGAAATAATTACCTACAATCACGAGACGCCCCCGGGGCAGAACGTGGTCGGGGCTATGGCGTTCTAGGCGATTGAACGTTAGTTGTTTAACGCTATTTACATAAATAGTTTATTGTAAATACTTGTTGAAATACTCATCGAAATTTTTGTTTAGTATATTTAATTGTAACATGAAATAGTTGAAAAAGTTTTATTGTAATTTAAGAATAATATATTATGTATATTACCCATCTATTTCATAATTTATAATGGCAAAACGTCGATCCTACTATAATTATTGCGGGGATATGGATGAATGCCTAACAAACAAAAGCATTCAGATACTTATACAATTTTTTAAGTTACCGAAGGATTATGAAAGGAATTTATTTAATTTTTTGTTAGATAGGTACTTATAGCGAAAAAAACATTAAGTAATAATTTAACTACAGAACCAATACCTAAGTACTTTATTACAAAACTGAATTGAAATTTACTTCACTACTCAAGTACCTACATGCAACTAAACAGTTGTTTGAAAAAAAAATATATAGGTATGCGTCTAGCTTTCTTAACCTTTAACGGTCTTAATCAAAAAACTCGATGTCAATTTAGAAATGTTTAAAGTTGCTTTTTTTCCCTAAATATCAATAGGAAGAGACAGACATAAAGAAAAATAATACTTAATTTAAGTGAGCGATAATCAACGATTCATAAATAGGGTTGTTTATTACAAAAACTAAAGATTTATGAATAATTATACAAAAATTTATTTCACTTAACATAACTTGCCTGTGATTTATGTCTCACTGAGGTAGATTCTGAAAGGTTGGCCTTCTTCTTAATGCATTGAGATATATAGTGGATGTGATTGTCAAATGTACTAGCTTTTTCATGTAATAGTTCAAAACCAAACCTAAAATGAAGCGAAAGTTATTGTATAAAATAAAATAGACAGGTACCTTTTGCCTTGAGTTTTAACAGGTCGGAACTCATCACTATTTATAACATTTTGATAAAGTACAATAAAAGCCTAAAGGATACTATTCAATTAAGTATAACCATGGCACAATTTTAGCTTACGGAACTCAAAAGGAAGAGGATTTTCCTTAATTACTTACCACTTTCAATCAAACTGATCTGTAGTAGCTCAGGAGTTAAGCCGCACGCCGTAAATACGGGATTAACCCGGGTTCGCTCTCAACTAATATTTATTAAAGAATAATTTTATTTTAGGTGCTGATTTACCACTTGCGTGTCAAAGGTTTAAATTTTGCGAGGACATGTACAAGTCATTACTATATTACCGTGACAATACACTTGGCCTACTAGACTGTAAATATGTGATACAGTGGCAAGTAGCGCTGAGCTGTAATTAAATAATAGGTTCTTACATTTATTATATTATACTGATACTGAAGATGGGCCAAATTAAGAGCACTTTTAACTGACGTGTATGCGTAGATATGTGGATGTGAAAGCGAGAAAGTTGTAGCAGGATCTGCCAAATGGAAATCTGTAGTCTCTCAGTCTGCCAGAGGAGTGGTAATCTGGGTAACAGGCGTGAGATTTTATAACTATTGATTTTATATAAGCCTGTGAAGGAAGGAGCTTCTACGGTTCCTACGGCGCCACGAATTAAAGACGGATTCGCATAAATCTCGACAAGATACGCTGAAAAGTAATAATAAAATTTTTCGATTATCTCACTTACTTTCAGAGATATCGATACTCAATAATCGAATACTAAAACCGAATCAGCACGCCCCGAATCCATGTAGTCTTGTCTGCCCTACTCCTAGGGTTTTTGTAAAGCAGTAGGCGCGGAGGGAGACCAGCCCCCTCCACAGCTTTGGCTTATTGGTCGCCTTTGGCGACCAGCCTAAGCCGTTACGGCACGCACAGGTGCCTGTTATTTGCTAAGCAAGGGCGGAGGGGCTGCATTTCCCGCAGCACCGAAGACGTTGCAAAAGTAACTTGGGGTCAATATTTCTGTATAAAAGAAGTAATTTTTCGAGTATCAATTATATTCTTGCTTTTCAGCGTATCTCGTCGAGATCTATGCGAATCCGCATTCAAATCGTGGCGCCGAAGAACTTTATAACTGCCGACGGTTATATTAATATTTCAAAAGTAAATAACTTATAACAACAAAACAAGATCAAAATGCTGTCTTTATCAATAACAGAAATCATTCGTGCGTAAAAACTAAAGAACGTATGTATATTGTTCAACCACAACATACATGAATTCAGTGCAGCACATAGACCTATTTCTGAAAATACTTTGGAGTAGGTACGGAGCTACTCCAGTGCGCGTGTTAAGACATGCAGGTTTCCTTAGGTTTTCCTTTGCCACCGAGCACTTCATTAATCAGTACTTAAAATTGCAATAACAAATAACAATCTCAGTGGAGCAGATGTAGATCAAACTAGGATTGCTCCATTTCTAGTTATAGGCCTTTCCCCGAGCTATGATGTTACACCTAATTATCAATCCTTAGCAGGTTGGCTTAAGCATCACTAAACTCGGTACCAGAGATTTCTTTTAATAAGGAAATGGGCCCTTTTATTTTTTTGTTTCTTTATAACTGAGTACAGTGAGAGAGCAAAATATACACATGTACTTACATTGCTTTTGTATAAATGTCTCCATCGTCGTTTGGTATTTGACTGATACATAATTCCAAGACGTCATTAGGGCTATTTGCTTTAGCAATTGTTTGTAAAAGCTTATCATCACCATATGAATGAACGATTGTGCCCGAGTTTGCCCGCGAGGCATATTTATCGGAATTACTACTAAAATAGGAAAGAAAAGGATTAGTTTTACATTATTTGGTGATGAATCAGGCTCAAGATAATATTATTTTAAATCCTCATTTAGTAAAATTTTATAGGAAAGAAACAAATTATCTTTGAATTTGTGTGTTAAGGCACAGAATAAATAATAATAAGTTAAGGGCATACAAAAATATAACAGTGGTCATTGTTAAGAAATCGGAAGGACTATTTCTTAGGTTGCCCTCATTTTTGACAGTTAAAAAGTATAAATTCTGCACGTCATACCACAAGATAGCGGTAAAAATACTTATGTAGCTAGTACCTCTTAAATTTCTCTTTCATGATAGATATTTTAGATCATCAAGTTAGAAACGAACTTGCATTTATTTTGTTGAAAAGAGAAAGTTATTGCTATTGAGCTACTACGACTCTTACCCTTGACACTGTTATTTATTCTGTGCCCTGCATGTGTAACTTAAATCAATTTAAAAAGTTCAATATTTAATAAATTTTGACTAAAATACATTTTTTTTAACTTACACTGTAGGAGAATATGTTGCAGGGCGTAATTCACTTTGAGTGGATACTGCTTCAGTTTCTAACTTTATTCTCTGAAATTTAAAGATTACAATTGTCATTAACTTAGGGACCTATAGTGCTCCGCTGCGTAGATCTCAAAAATATTATAAAATAAATAATATTATGTTCTGAAAATTTGAGAGTAGTTTTCTATGAGTAGGTCTCATGGTATTCACAGTGGTCTCAGGGAGCGAGAGATCAATTATGCAGATGGAAATGTAAGATGTGTATTTCTGCGCACTTTGATTCGAGAGACACTTGTATTCTTTAAATTGTTTAAAACTGATTCATTTAAATAAATAAAACAAATATATATCGATGAAGCTAATGTCGAATGCTTTATTAGTTGTTTGGTATTTTCTCCGTAACTTTTAGATGACCAAAAATATCTTTTCATAATATTAGAGTTCATTGACTTATCTAAAATAAAATACCTATTTTAAAAGGTTTCTTTAAACTTTCAAAAAATACGACTACAACTACACTGTACTTAATATTTAAATGTTTTAAATTTTTATCCGTAGAACGACAATTGTTTTATCCAGTGGTCGTCGTCTAGACGGAACGGTTGTCTGTCGGACATTTTGCCTATATCGTAATTAGCAGTAATAATATAACAAATGTGATCGTTACTGCGAAAACTACATAAATAAATAAGCTTACCCAAAAAAATTTAAAGTATAGGTAGGCCAATTTAAAGTATGGGCATAGTGCCTTTAAATTTTTGTTGTTTTTTAAAGTTTAGGAAAATCAGTCAGTTACCTAAACTTTAAAGTAGCACAAGACTGATATTATAATCCTTCAATGTTGAATACTAAACGTATTGGGCGAAGAATCTTATTTCAAATAGGTATTGGTAAAGGTGGTTATATAAAATGTTACTTTGGTCCTTAAAAAATGCTGTACCTTTCGCGTGATGAGCAACCTGACTGAGCAGTGTGGTGCAGGATACAAGAAAATTAAAAACAGGAACAGGAAAATAAAATTTAAAAGGGACGGGAATAATAAAGCCAAGTTTAGATTATAAATAATAATATTTTGTATAATATTATAATCAAATAAAAAAATTCAAAGTAAGAATGGGAATGTCTATGCGCCATAATATATTGATTGCCAGCAGATATTTTGAAAAAAAAAATTTTATATTGAAATATTGGTGTACTATCTCATAACAAAAAGTTTTAAACCAAATGTAGCTCTAATTCCGCTTATATCTGTTCCTTCTCAGCATTTAGTCATCATCATCATATATAAATACGGAACATGTATATAATAAGTAGGTATATTCTAATTATGGTTTTTTATTACTTGTTTATCTTACTAAACTAAAGTTAGTTTAGTAAGATAAACAAGTATAGTAATCACCACCTTTAAATTCAAACAAGCTCCCTTTTCCAGTGTTCATCCCCGTTAAAAATAATTTTTCATCGAATTAAAACTTCATTCTAATACTTAGATTTAATTAAAAACATAAAGAAATTAATCTACGCATAAATATTTTCTTAACAAATTGTCCTTTCCAAGTGATAGTTTCTAGATTGAGGTTATAGATGTTCTTATTTTTCCCTTGATCACATTGTACATCATGTTAAAAATCAAAAACAAATCATCACTATGGCAACATCTGCCACCAAAAAGGCAAGAATATGGCAATAGAATGTTTACAGGCCAACCCAGATATTAAAAATTATAATTAAGTACTTAGTTAATTTATTGTATTAATTTTTCGTCAGAAATCTTCGCGGGCACGCACGCAATAACTAAACAGTTTTATTTAATCAAAAATTGGATGCATGAAATACGTAGCCAACAAAGAAACATATTATAATATTTAAAAATTTAAATTCTTTTTTAAAGTAAACTTTTACTACTATGCACATGGCTAGTGCTTTAATGTACGTCTTTGAACTGGCCACTAAGTAAAAAGTTTACTTCAAATTAGTAGTATTTATTTATAGGTCTAATTGATAGTTTCAATAAAAAAAAACGGTAAAAGTCAACCGATATATATACCTATTAAGATACACAATAATAGAAAAAACGTAACTTAAATACTGTACCTTATAGGGTGGATGCCCCTATTACCAGCCTTTTAGTGCCAATTTCAACTTAAAAAATTCCTGCTATTTTAATTAGGGTACAATATTTTTAAACATTTGTTTCAATCGATAGGTTATTTATCTAAAAATATAATGGACGTTTATTTACAATCATATTATTTCAAGAACAATTTTAAAAACGACGATAAGCAAAAAAGGCGTTATGGCTCAAATGCCAGCCACCCTGTACCGAATGTCGTCCTTTTGTGTACTTAATGCCAGCATAGCATAGGGTTGTGCCTTTTGAGTTTTTGGTAAGTACCTATTGTAGGTAACTTTTAATTTTGAATCTGCATGTGACAAGCATGGAATATTATTAAGGCAGACGACAACATTTAAACATCCAAGTTTTCAAATCATCATCGTCATTACAACCTTACACAAGTTCACTACGTAATATCCTGCTCTATAGACTGCCGCAAAGACTGGTCCTAAACCACTTTACTTGTCATGAGTTTTTCATTTATGTTCTAAGTTGTAATTAGTATTACTAAGTTATAGTGTTTGCTTATCTATACATATAAATAAAATATATATAATAGCATTTAGTAAAAAAAGCTGACATTACAAACAGACACTTTGTATATGAAAGTATATACGGTACCTATAACAAAAACACAATTTTAAGAAAAATCTGTCTGTCTGTTTGTTCCGGCTTATCTTCGAAACGGCTGGACCGATTTCGACTAGACTTTCACTGAACGACAGCTGATGTTATAAGGAGTAACTTAGGCTACTTATATTTTATAAAAAGAATTAGGGTTCCGCGCAACATAATTAAAACACTAAATTACACGCGGGTGAAGTCGCGGGGAACAGCTAGCAGCCCTGATTTATATTACGTGGCTGAAATTAGGTACTTATCATTAGGTACGTCAAGCCAAATAACAGCCGGGCGGCTGACATTATGCACTCCATACATTTCGTATATCTAATTACAGCCCCATTAATTTCCACTAAAAGAAAATAATATACTTTCCTCTAGTTACGAAGAATTTTTTAGGTGACAATATTTGTAGTTAAGACTAATAGAAATCTTATTTACGAAGTAAAAAGGCGAAAGGGCTGGAATTAGGGGCATGGCTGGTATATATTTTTTTTTTTTAGAAAAATTAGGTATTAGGGGCATCTACCCTAATTAGTGTTTGTAGATTGAGTTGATGGCTGCAGACGAGTATGGATCTAGTCATGATTTCAATATAACATGAACCAGAAGCAAACTCGCCCACAAATATCATCAAGTCAAAATATGAAGTCTTTCAGCACGGAATAGAAGAGGACAATACCAAAACATTATATTTATAACATAATATAATCTTTACATTTTAACTTTGTATTTAGAACATCAGGAATCTCATGAAATAGTAAAGTTATGTAGAACTAAATGCTGCTATCATCTTGTTATGGTGATGTTGACTCTGCAAGCACTCAATGAGTGTAGATCTAGTCACAGATAGTATAAACTGAGCTACTAGATTTATACCCATTTAGCACATACAGATACCACATTTCTTTCAATCTTCTTTATTCCTGTTGATATCTTGAAGTGCTGTAAAAAAGTAATAAAGAATGTCTCGGATCTGCCTACATTGCCTGCCTTAAATTTAGCAACTTAACACTTAAAATAAAATATTACAACCAAACTATTTTTTGCCTTGTTGCAACACATTAAATCTTTATGTGAAGAGAAAACTTTGTAGTAATATTTTGTGCATGCAGAAGGAACTTATTTATACGAATATTGTTGATTTATTCACCTGATACAAATTTAAAAAGTATTATAATAATATTTTTTTTAATAATTTTAGTCAATTGAATAAAATTAAGTAAAACATAAATATATATTTATATACTCTGACAAACATATGGTTATTCTTTTTGTGTCTAATAAAACATTACACCAATTTTGCAATATCAGTGACAGTAGGTTACGGTGTGGCTTGGGTACCCCTTTTACCACCCTAAAGCCACATACATTATAATGATACAAAATATAATATTGAAAGAATATAGCTTTTCAATTTTAAAAATTATCAGATGAATAATAAGTATTCTTTATTTATATGATTAGCAAACAACCATTGGAATTGTCTATTCATATGACAATAGGGTGATTGATTATCATATAAATATTTTAAACCGACTTCAAAAAAGAGTAGGTACTAAATTCGACTGTATGGTTTCTTTTTTATTTGTTAAATTTGACTAGGCACACTAGAGAATGGACTGGTTAGTGGATGTTTTGTGTTATTATTAATTAGGTCAGTTTGAACATAAAACATACTGCCCATGCTATCACAGCAGGGTATGAAATTATCAGATTGAAGGTAAAAAAAAACTGATTTTCATATATACATAATGTCTAATTTCTGATGGCCCTTTTTTTATATATTTTAGACATTTCTTTTCTGTAAGATGTGTAAAAAGATAATAGATTTTCGTAACAGGTAATGGAAATACTTATACTTATATACCAAAAATAGTGTAAAATTATTTACATATTATTGTATTTTATACCAACTTCAAACAGGAGGAGGTACTCAAATCGACAGTATGTTTTTATATGTATGTTACCTCATAACATTTTTTTTTCTGGGCGAACCAATTTCGATGATTCTTTTTTATTTGTAAGCTGGTGCTTCACATGTGGTCCCATATAAATTTGATCAAGGTCTGACTAATAATTTTTGAGTTATCCTTAATAATTTATGTTGAAGTCGGTTGTACAAAATTTTTAATAATACCTTGTACAATAATGACAGGTTACTTCGTAGCTTGATACTGATTTATTTTATCAGTCTAAATTAAGATAAGATCAAATTTGTTCATATTCTGACTTAATAACATTTTTCTTGTTACAATTATTGTTAGTAAAATTTTATTGAAAATTCATCATTATATATAGTAATAAATCATGATAATATCCTCGCAACCTTTAAAGTACAAGAAACTTGATATAGCACTTGCTTTAAGAGTAAGCACTAGTATTATTTTGATATACTCTTTTTGAGTATGATTTTAGCATCATAGTGTAATAAATTTTGAGAAGTACATTTTAACCTTCTTATCTCAATAGTATGATGTTATTAGTACCAAGGAATGGTTATACAGTTACCAAATATACTTGTGTAATTAAATATTATAAATATGAAAAATGCTTGTTTTAATGCTTTTGCCAGTGTACAAAAATACACCAAGCTTTAAAAATAAAGAAAATTAAGAGCCTTCATGCATGATTAAGAGTTGATATTTCAAGGTATTCAACTATACTTACATTAGCCTAAGTGTGAATTTAATTATTAGAAAATTTTATATTATATTATATACATAAATATAAAATTAATACAATACATATGACCTACAAATCTTAATTTTTTTTTCATCAGTTCTTTTAGTATCATAACATATACAGTTTAGTAAAAATATTTTTCAAATGGATGAATAAAAGTAAAATAAATAAATAAAATATACCTTTGGTGTTGCTGTTGTAGTCATGTAACCTGACAGGACTTCGTTATCTGACCTGACCATTAAGGAAATATTTACCTTGAAGTACTTATTAATGACTTGAAAATAATAAAAATTGAAAACAAGAGATAGGTATACCAAAACCACAACATAACCTTAATGTTACAATTAAAAAAATTATATATTCTTGTCATATAAAAGTATTATAAGTTTCCTAAAATTTTTCTGAAACAAAAAAAAAACACGTGGACAATAAAAACGAAAAGGATACTGGGAAGAAACCTGTGTCCCATAAACCGTCAAACTTGTGCCGGTATTAGCCGCTTCATTAGTGGGAGCGTTGAGTCTACTTGCCGCTCGCTTGGAAAATTCCTTTTTCTCAAGTAAATCTAAATTCTCCAAAGTAGGCGAAGAACCATTCAAGTGGGTTAAACTGAACGCCATCCATTGTTCAATAAAAGTTTCTGCATCTACGTTATACTCTTCACATAAACTTACACCTTGTAAAACACGAATAAAGAAACAACCTTGAACATTAAATTGCTTAGCGTTGAAGTTTATCAAACAACAACTAACTTTTTACAAAGTCGTAAAGTAACAATAAATAGTGCCTACACATTGACCGTATGTAGTAGACTTAATTGGTTACTTACATTTAGACAATACTTCTTTTGGTACATCTATACCCAAAAATTGAAATTGCTCAGTCACCAAGTCCTCGGTAGCCATTTTCTGTAAAATTGAAAGAGCGGAGCGAACCAATGACGGAAAAGAAGCACGGAAGTTTTAAACCGCCAATCAAAAAGTTGTTGTTGTTGTTACGATTCGCGAATTATGGCAGGCAAAGGTCTCAGACCGTACTGCCTAGAATGACGTAAATTGCGGATTCCTGACTGCGTTGCTGGCGAGACAGAGCTGTAATATAGGAAAATAAAAAAGAATGGCAAATCTCATGACTGTGTCCGATTTTAAATAACATGTCAGCCCAAGTCGGCACGCAAGAAATAAGCTCCTAGATATTTTGTAAATTCATAGAGTATATGAGTAGCTATTTTTAGTAATTATTTTTTCAAAATGGTTACTTGTTCTATGAGTGACTGTAGTGTCAATAATAGAAATATACAGAATATATAGAATAACAGAAGTTACATATAAAAGGTAAATTCTAAAGATGACAATGTTATGACGCGTATTTTTTGGTTCAAATTTATGTTATATACCGTTTAAAATATAGAATATTTTCAATTATTTTGTTAATTTTGATATTTTGCAAAGAAAAAGTCACGTTGTTGATAATTTGTAAGATTTTCGTAATACATTTTTAAACAAAATATTTTGCAGGTACGAGTACGGGATAGACTCAACTATGTCAAAATTAATGTCCATATTTTTTGGCCGGGTTGGTTGGAATCCAAAGAAAAATTAAGCAATTTGCAGCACATATTTTCTTAAGAAGTATTAAAGAAAGAGTAGAATAAAAACAATTTTATTCAAAGGAGCCGTATCTACATTATTTGTACCAGTAAATATAATATTGTTATAGTAAGACTTCAAAAATTTTACTTCAAAAGCTTAGATATAAATAGATATAGATTTTTTATACATTATAAAACTGTAGTACATTAAAGATTAAAAAAAATTTTTGAGAATTTCCTATTTACGCCATTGTGAACCGAAGTCATTAAACAAAAAGAAATGAATAACCTTACTTAACCAACCGCACCTCACGGTCACACTAGTAGACTAGTACAACATTCATAGCATCACGCTATTTTCCCTAAGGGGTTGAGTGGAGCTTCGGATTATATTCCTAACAATGATAAAACTTTACGCGTAGTTAGGTAAAGATATTTTGTAATGCTCCTGAAGCGCCGCTAGAAGCCCGCGCATGAGACTCGCGTTTCAAACGATACTCCATCTAGTGGGGGGACGCCCTACAATTCACCTAGGCTGCCACCCGAAAACATTTTTCCCCACCGGTTGTCGGTTCTTTGAGCTATATGGCCGGTTCATTGCCACTTCAGCTTACCAATCCATTGAGCTACGTCGGCCACTCTAGTTTTACTGCGAATATCCTCATTTTTAAATTTTTCACGCGGAGAAACGACGCGCATAGCTCTCTCCATAGTTCGCTGAGCTACATTAAGCGTCCTCATACGGCCAGCAGTGAAGGTTCACGTCTCACTGGCAACACGCACTGGTTGTACAATCTCGTTTTTAGGTTTTGAGGTTTACCTGACGAGAAGATGTGTCGTAATTTCCGAACACTGCCTAGCCGATTTGAATCCGCCGAATGACCTCTCGGTCGAAGTTGGACTTACCTAGTCGGACTATTTGTCCCAGGTAAACAACTTCGAGCTTAGTGCTCCCAACATTTACGGTCATAGGTGTGACATGGACATTAAACATGATAATTATTTTGTTCATGTTCATCTTAAGACCTATCCGTTGGGAGACACTATTGAGGTCGTTGAGCATAGTGCTTAGGTCTCCAGCGATTCTGCCATAAGGACTATATCGTCGGCAAATCGAAGGTGATTGATGTACTCGCCATTGATGTTGATACCGCATTCTTTCCAGTTCAGCAGCTTAAAAACATCTTCCAATGCAGCGGTGAAGAGTTTCGGGGATATAACGTCACCCTGTATTACACCTCTCTGCAGTTGGATAGGTTTCGTACTCTGATAGCCATCATAGCTCTACTGTACAAACACTTCAGCACTTCGATATACCGACAATGAACTTGGCACCTCTGAAGGGACTGCAGCACCGCCCAAATTTCGACGGAATCAAAGGCTTTCTCATAGTCCACATACGGAAGGCAAAGTGGCAGATTATACTCCTCTGTCTTCTGTACAATTTGCCGAAGGGTGTGTATGTGGTCTATGGTACTAAAGCCTTTTCGGAAACCTGCTTGTGCGGGAGGCTGGAAGTTTTCAACTCTGCGTGCGAGACGATTCGTAATGACTCTCGAAAACAGCACGTAGACGCGGCTCAGAAGGGAAATCGATCTGTAGTACTTCAAGAGAGCGTTTCGCCTTTCTAGAAGAACAAGACCACCGCACTTATTGCTCCACGTCCATGGAGGACGGAATGAAAGAGCTTCTGAAGGACTTCGAGTACCGGTATTCCACCCGCTTTCAGAAGCTCCGCTGTAATTACATCCTCGCTTGGGGCCTTGCCGTTTTTAAAGTGCTGGAGAGCCATTCTAATCTCGCTCAGACTGACGCCCGAGATATCTTCGGGATAGTGTCGGATAAGACTCGCTCTTGGATCGTTACTCACACTTGTACAATGTGTACAGCTGCCTATAGAACCTCTCAACCTCACTCAAAATCTTAGGTGTCCCGGAAACCATGCTGCCACGCTCGGTCTTCAGCTTTCACAGTTGGCTCTTTCTGGCAGACAGATCTCTGGCAAAGACTTCGTAGCCTTGGTTACGCTCGATCGCTTCTTCAATACAAGCTGTATTGAAGTTGCGTAAGTCCCGCCGCATGCATTTGGAGATCTGTCTCTTCAGTTGCCTATATGCTGTCAAATCTGTTAAAGACTGCAGCTTCATTTTCCGTTTAACAGCCATGAGATTAAGAGTGTGATCGGACAGTTTTTGTGTTCTTCTGCGGCGGGTCTTGCGTAACTTAGCTCCAACCACATGGACAGTTTCCACGAGCTTGTAATTCATATCGTCCACTGCATTGCAGTCTTCTAGGCACTGAAAACGGTTTTGTAATTCGAGCTGAAAGGTTTCTGGACTTTGGATTAGAGCACGAGGGGGACGGAGTGTTGACTTCATTAGACGAGACCTCTCCAACTTAACGCTTAAGTTCAGTGTGCCTCTAACCATTCGGTGATCGCTACCAGTTTTCACTCTCGCGATCACTGACTCATTACTGAACAGGTGCCTGGTCGTCATAATGAAGTCAATCTCATTTTTTGTCTAACCGCCGGGGCTCGACCAGGTCCACAGCCTGTGAGGTCGCTTCCGGAAGAAAGAGTTCATCATAAAGAGTTCCTCCTTCTCCATGAAGTCGGTCAGCTGTTGGCCCCTTGGGTTCCATTGCCCTATTTCAAATTTCCCTAATTTCAGCTCTTCTTCTCTCTTGTGCCTAGTATTGCGTTGAAGTCTCCCATCAACACCCTGTAGTGGGTTTTTGAGGAAGGCATAGCTTTAGAGATATCCTCATACATTTCCTCCACCTCCTCATCGGAAATGCCGAATTTGGTGCGTAAACTTGTATGACCTTCAACGAATACCGTTTGGTGATTCTGAGTATAAGGTACGCAACCCTCGTCGACACACTCCCAATCTTTACAACGTTGTTAACGAGAGACTTGTGGACGATAAATCCGACACCCCCCTTGGGACATATTGTCACCTTCCCGGTGATAGAACAAGTTGCCGAATTCGAGGATTACCGTGTCCTCCTCCTCGCTTCCGACCTCGGATAATCCTATAATATGCCAGCGTAACTAGTCAATCTCTTATTCCAGCTCCAAGATCTTCTCATCAGTTCTCAGGGTGTGTGCGTTGTATGTTGCCAGGTCAAGTCATCTTAGGTGGCAACCGAACCTCCACCGAAGATTCTTAGGACCACCTGCTGCGCCGTTACCATGGTCGCCACCGTAGCTAGGAATAGCGGGGCCGCCGGGGACTGGGGGCCGTCTCTTCGAAACGTTCACTTCATGGGGGAATATTTGCCATAGTTGCCACGATTGGCGAGCGGGTTGGCAACCGCAGTTTTCTTATTGTAATCTTGCTGCTATCAGAAAAATGCTGCTGCCCATTTACTGCCTGTTTCCCATTATCGCCTTTTACGACACCCATGGAAAGATATGGGGTAGTGAATATTCTTAACCGCCACTACACGGCACGGCATTTGACGCAAATCTACCAATATTATTTTGATGCTAACCTCAAAAGCTGCTGCTAATTCACCCGTAGATTGAGTATCGTCAGCTTCCACAATCGCCATTAATTCGACATTGCCGACCAAAGTTTTCGGACGACCACGGGGTTTATTTTTCAGGTCGAAGTTTCCAGAACGGAAGCTGGCAAACCAATAACAGGTGGTGCGTTCGTTTTTAGTATTCGCTCCGTAAACATCGATGATGTTGTTTGTGCCACGTTGCGGCCATAATGGTACTCTTATTCCATGATTACTCGAGTTTTTATCGTATCCATGATGTCGAAAAAGATTCAAATGCGATGAAAACATAACGCTAATGAGGGCTAATAATTTTCTGCTCACCAGATGTCGCTAGTTGTCACTGAGGTAAAGTTTTTTGTTACGCAATGTAATTTAATTGAGAAAATGTTTTTTTAATAGAAAATTATCAGTTTCTAGAGTATTATATTAATATACAAAACAATGCGTCAGTAGTTTGCTCTTTAATTTTTTGCACATTTTTAACTTTTTTTTAATTTTTCTACTTTTATGAATATCTGTGGATAGGAGGTTTATTTTTTTAATGTTATTAATATAAAATATAGCTAATAGTACAAAAAGAAACAATAACTTTTACATTTTCCGAACAAATTAACTTTCCCACTATGAAATCTGTCAAATATTATACCTCACTTTCCAGTGGCGCCGCTCTGGTGGCAGAAAAAGTCGTGGATTCCAAAAGAATTCCATGTTTTTAAAATTAAATAAATTTGAAATTAGAATTCTTAGCCAAACAAAAATTATTTAGATTTGAAATGGGCAGTATGCAGACTGGCAATATCATAGGAAATAATTATGAAACCATTTTACTGCATCCGCGCGAAGGCTGTAGTAAGATAACTTTAAAAGTAGCAACAGGATGTTTATGGAGTCAAAATGTATTAACTTCATTATTTTTAATAACATGACATTTGATTGTTTATATTGTTTCAGCTGATTGCAGGCATTTTTAATCATTAGTTTAGGAGTATACGATAATATACTTAATAGTCTTAGGTTCTTAAACTCAACGGGACTTTCCATTTTCGGTAGGGGCTTTACTAACGCTTGCTGCCGCAATAGGCTAATGTGCTAGAATTAAATGAAGTATAATAATTTTGGTTAACCTAACATTTCAAGCTATATCCCGTCGATCGCTAACACGTTTGATTAGGATGACAGTGATTTTATTAGCATAGTACCTCATGTAATTCAAATGGTTACAGTATCGTAACTAATTTGATATAAGTCATAGCTAATGATCGCAATGAACTGGCTGATTAAACTATCAGGCGACGTTGTTACATTATTACAAATAAAAAATATATATAAAATATGACGGTTGTTCATTTGAGTAAAAAGTTGACGCAAGTGATAAAGAAATCAATTATACCTAGTATTTTCTTCACATCACAATTAGAAAACATGTTTAGATTTTCAAAGGTACGTCCAATACGAATATTTAACATAAAATTAAACTTAATAAAAAAGGAAAACCAACTTCAATAAAATATAAAATAAAATAATTTCCACATATTATAGTTTCTGAAGTCGGTGCTTAGACAAAGTGTACTGAAGAATTAAGCTCCGAATTCATAGAATCTCGAGAAGTGCCATCTGATTCGTGATCATATAGTTTCCGACGAGGTAAATGAGCTGGTGATTTTCTAGTCTACCTGAGGGGACGGATAGAGGCAGTCCAGACTTCTTCTTCCTTTTTAATGGCACATCGAAAACTTATGCACAATAAACCTGTTTTCTAGCAGATAGGAATAATGTATGGAATGTAATGGTCGTATAAAAACTAAAAATCTACAAATCGAATGATGTAAATAGGTAGATTGTTATGATGAAACTTGGTTTTAAGTTTCTTTAGAAATAATGTCAAAAAAGTTGTCTAACAAAAATTCAAATTTGATAATGTGTTTAATTTTACATGGCTATTCGTAATTTTTTGTTATCTCATAATTATTAATAACTGGAGATCCAGCCCGGAGTTGCACGGATAATTTCTGGTTCTCAACAACAACGCCACCTACCGGGTCCAATAGAGTTTTTAAATCATATAGGAACACTGGCTGATACCCGCGGCTTCGTCCGCGTTACTTGATATACTTCCCCCACTTTTCCGCGGCAAGAAAACACATCACTGAACACATAGTGCTTATAAAAATCATTGTTTCTTAAAACTAATTAAATGAAGATATCGCAATTTTTTTTTGTTTTAGATAATAGCCAAGTGTCTAAGAACTAAAACTTAGAAAACCTAATTGAAATCTATCTAGTAGTTTTTCCGTGATTCGCGCACAACTGTATATGCATAGAATTATTACGCAATAATTCTATGTGTATATGTCATTTTATTTATATAGATACATATATTACAGAGCGACATTTATTTTCTTATCCTCTTAAGTCCATAGGTACACATAGTGCACCTTTAATTTATTCAAATTAAGACAAGTAGTGACATCTTTTAACAACTGCTAGTACTTGAATGAGTTACTATTGGTTATAGTTTCGATATATGTCCATAGACGACTTCGCGGAGAAAGTTTGTGGAGTTATTTTTTCATTTAAATTAGTTCGTTGGAATTTTTTTCAAAAGACGTCGTCTAGCAATCTTTGAATTTCGATAAAAAAAGAAAATCTTCACTTTGGTTTGATATTTTTGTTGATTTGTGTTGCTGAATTATTGGACTAACGTGTGAAAGGTAAGTTTTATGTTTATTTAGAAAAATATTCGTGTAATAGTTGTGTTGTTTTATTGGTACACATATGTGTACCTCAGGACTAAATATTACTTTTGTATGATATACGACCGTTTTTCAGCTTGAACATCGATGACCGGGCGATTGAGGATTTCCTGAATGACAGCGATCTGGATTTTTCCGAAGACGATGATAATGAAGAGTACTTGCCGTCAGATGTCTTAAGAGCACTTCAAGAGTCTCAAGAAGCAGAAGTTAGAGGTGAAGGCCTAGAAGAAGAAGCACGTGAAGAAGCGATGCAAGACGACAAAAATACTGAAGAAGTAAGTCAAAGTACATCACGATTATTGTGGTGGAAGAACGTAATGCCTCGCCGTGGGCCAGGTATTGCAGATGACGTACTAATTTCACAGGGGAGCGCAGACATGAATGTTTTGTATTGTTTTTTTCAGTATTTAGGGCTAGACTTTTGGGGATTACTAGCAGAACAGAGCAACCTATATTCAGCTCAAAAAAGAAATCTAAAATCAATAAATACAAATTCTATTGAAATGATCCACTTTGCTGGTGTACAACTGATGATGGGCACCCTCAAATATCCACAAGGAAAGCTCTACTGGACTAGAAATTGTGTACCTATAGTTAGAGATACAATCAGTCGTGATCGTTTTTTTGAGCTCAGGAACTATCTGCACTTAGTCGACGTAAACCAGCCAAATGCTAATGACAAGCTGTGGAAAGTCAGGCCACTGATAGACCCAATTTTGAAAAAATGCCATAGTTTGCCACGCTCTAAATATATGTCAATTGACGAGCAAATGATACCATTCTCTGGACGATGTGAATACCGTCAATACGTGCCTGCTAAGCCAAATCCACTAGGTCTGAAGAACTTTGGTAAGGCTTGGTATTGGATTTTGAAATCTATGTTAGCAAGGATACATTACCAAATGATGTAATGAAAAATCTAGGACTAGGAGCGGGTATCGTCGAAAAACTATGTCGCACAATTAATACACACAGAGATATTTTTTACAAGTCTGAAGCTGGCAGAACTATTGCTAGAAAAAGATAACCCATTTTTCTAACTGGAACTGCAATGTCAAATAGGATTGGACCAGTAGCGAAGAAACTGAAGAATGACAAGACGTTAGAACGAGGACAGTGGGATGAGAAAGTAGGAGACGATGAAAATGTGTGTGTCGTAAAATGGATAGACACAAAGGCCGTAACAATGTTGTCTACATGTTCAGGGAGCGCTCCTGCAGATACCTGCAAACGGTGGTGCATAAAAGAAAAGCGGAAGATAGACGTAGCCCGGCCAGAAGCAGTCAGAAATTACAACACCAGCATGGGTAGAATAGATTTGTGCGACAGACTAATTGCTTACTATCGAAGTGCAACGCGAACAAGAAAGTGGACAGTAAGAACTTTTTGCCATTTTCTGGATTTGGTTGTCGTCAATTGCTGGATAATGTACACCCGCTGTTGCACCGAAGAAAATGTCCAACGCAAAGACATGTTGGGCTTACTTCAATACAGACTGAATCTAGTCAAAGCGATGATGAAGTACAGCGGCGGAAAGGTTGAACCCAACTTCTTGATTCCTGGCTCCATATTTTGTCCCAGCACCAGCCCTTCGACAAGATCCAGCTTGACTGCTGCCAGCGAAGGACTACAGTGTACCGATGACCCACCTACAAAAAAACATCGGCTGGTTGTACCCCAACCACAACTTGAAATAAGGCTGAACAGTGTGGATCATCTGCCACGATTTGTGGACAGCAAGTCCGCTTCAAAATGCCGTCATCCGACGTGCTCCTCACGCAGCCGCACCATGTGTGTGAAATGCAATATGTACATATATGTGCTCAAAAATAATTGTTTTGAGAGTTACCACACTAATAAAAACTTTGGCCCACGTTAAAACCTCAGTTACACATATTTTATTTTTAAACTTGTGTAAGATAGTTTTTTTTGGAAAACAATTGTCTGTTTTATTTTATACCCCTACAACTATAATAAACCATAAAAAACATTATAATCACATTTGGTTATTCCTGTATTACAGAGCTTTTTTCATTCCACAACGCGTAGAATATCAACAAGCACTGTTAATATGAGCCAAAGTCTGGTAAAATTAAAAAGATTGCAGTCTAACTTTCAGGTATGTATTAAGACTTAAGTAATTAATATGTCCCCTTGTTAGAGCGTTTCTTCATTGGCCTATACCACTATTATTTATTCTGTGCCTATACCGTTAGCGCTATGTCGTTACCGACATTATCTAGAGCCTTTTTCTTTGAATGACTTATGCGTGCTGATAATGTTGATAATGATATTAGACACTATCTCCGTTCAGCCATTTAGCATCTTTGTTCCCATCTGCATCTCTTTTACGCTACGTAAGATTTTAAAATCACCAGCTTACTCCCAAAATTGTTCTTTTGATTGTTGGTTGAAATTAGTTTTGTTTATAAATTATTACTTTATGTATTACTACACAAAACCTAGAATTATCAACTTTATCATTTAAATATATACTAGCTGTCCGCCCCGGATTCGCCTGGATAGGATCTATTAATTTGGATAATGATTTAATTAAATGAAATTAATTTGGTTATTAAGATTTAAGAAAATCAAAAACCATTTATTTCATATAATTTTCTGATTTTTAAATAAAAATGTTTTATTTTTTCGGAGAAAATATGTCCTAGATCCCTCCTGACATAGACATATGTTTTTAAAATTATCCATATAACCATTTTACTTGGTAGAGCAACGCTGCAACTATGATAGCTATACATACCCGTAGCTGCAGTAAGAATGGGTCGGCTCGAGTGGGGTAGGACTACACTCTCATAGAACCACAGCGTGAAACAACAGTATAATGTTACTGTTTCGTATGGTAAGTAGAGAACCAGATACCCTTATTACTGGAAACGAGGCAAGCCATTTTAGTTCTAAGGGATGACTACGCATCTGCATTTTGATTCTTAATCAATGATCACCATTAAGTGGATTTTGAGCTCGTTTGTCACCCTCTCTGCTATAAAAATAATGGTAGAGATTAACTGGACAATACGCATGCTATCTTGTCCTAGACTAAATCTGCCATACACTAGTAATATATATAGTGAACACTATTTATATAGTGAAGAATAAGACTGGAGACATTTCAGATAAGAGCAATTATACAGGCCTATCTCTTTAGCAACAGTGACTGCAAAGGTCCTTGACATGCTACTAAGCAATGAGTTAAAAAAAGTTCTTCAGATTCATGATGCACAGTTTGGTTTTAGGGCAGAGCTGTCAACAGAAAGTACAATATTAGGTTTAAAACATACAGTCAGATAGATATTATACAGATCGCAAAACCCCGGTTTATTGATGCTTCTTAGACCTGTCGAGAGCCTTTGATCTGGTGTCGTATCATATTCTATGGAAAAAACTTGCCGAATGTAATTTTTCTAATGATCTCCTGGGTATCTTCCGCTATTGGTACAATCATCAAACCAAACATGTAAAATGGGCAGATAAGCTTTATGAATTGTACGTGTTGAAATGTGGCGTGAGACAAGGTGGAATAAATCACCTCAACTTTTTAACTTGATAAATGAGCTGCTCAAAAGACTCAGCAGCACTAGGGTCGGTTGCCATGTGGATGGAAAGTGTCAACAACCTAAGTTACGCCAACGACATGATGTTGCTGAGTCTCTCGGTCAGTGCGCTCAGAAAGCTTCTGGGAATCTGTGAGGCTTATGCAAATGAACACGGTCCAATTTATAATATAAGGAAAAGTGAGTTTGTGTTGTTTAAAGCTAATAACAAGAGTCCCACGTACATACCACCCAACACTCTACAACACTGCTTTATCGAGGGTATCACAACTCAGATACTTGGTACACTACGTGACCGAAGATTTGCGAGATGAAATGGACATGGAGAGGGAGCGTAGGGCTTTAGCGACCCGGGGTAATATGTTGGCCCGTAGGTGTGCACGATGCAGTAGTGCCGTTAAAATAACTCTTTTTAAGGTATACTGCCAGTCTTTCTATTCGTGCTCCCTTTGGGTCAACTACACACAAAGGGCGTATAAAGCATTAAAGGTGCAATGTAACAATGCATTTAGCGTTCTTTTGGGGCTGCCTCGCTTCTGCAGCGCTTCAGACATGTTATGTGAGGCCCGTACCGACGGGTTTAATGTGATAATGCGCAAAAAAGCCGCATCGCTACTAAGCAGAACATGGAACAGCGCCAACAGTATCCTGGGTGCTATAGCACAAAAACATGACTGTCCTATAATAAGACAAATTATTAAGGTCCTGTATGCCTGACTTACCTGTGCGTGTGCTTGCTTGCGTGTGTGCGTGCGTGCGTGCGTGCATGGGTAGGTGCGTGCGTGCATGGGTAGGTGCGTGCGTGCATGGGTAGGTGCGTGCGTGTCATTTTACTTCCTCCGTCCACCTAGCTGTATTATAATTAATATTTTGTGATTTTTCTAATATTTCTGATATGGATCTCATTTTTTATCCGAAATAACGATTTATTATTATTATTATTACTAGCGTATGGCAGATTTAGTCTACTATTTATATATCGTTATTCTTTTAAATTTAAAGAAAATTCTAAACAAAAGAGCATATTTTATAATGATTTCTTATATTTACGCGAACGCTACACATTTTAAACTAATTTTACTAATATAATATTGATCGTCCCCCCATTACATTAGATTTGATTGACCACAAATCCTCGCAAAAGAAACCGATTCCTACCAAGGATGATTCGCGAGGATATTGAAATTAAAAAACATCCTAATTTCAATAGAGAAGATGGATTTGTGCTGCCATCTGCTTGGTATCCTATAGTTAATAAATTAAACCGAAACCCAAGCATACCACTTCAAGACTTCGAGATTCTGTAAGCTCATTCTGCGTAGATCGAACCAAAATTAATATTAAAAAACTGAAGGTAGCCGGTTAACTATGACATCCGGACGTCAAACACCTCGGTCTCCCCCGTGACCATGAGTGCTGTAAAGCATTCGAAACGTCGGGAATTAATAAGTTAAATTAAACGCGATAGAATCCGTAAAATTAGTTTCATTTAAAGCATATTTTATATTATACACACACAGTTAATTTCTTGCTTACTTGAACCTTGCAGCGTGAAGATGGAAAACCAGTATGGCTTAAAAGAGGACTGTCTGATAGAGTTCTGTATAGTACAACAATTGTCTTATGTTTTGTTGGTGTTGGCATGACCCTCGCTTTTATTTACGATCAAGCTAAACCACCTTCTTGGAAAAATAGTATCTGCTAACAAGAACACTGGATGTTAGATTTTGAAAAGTAACGTATATCTTTATTTTAATAACATAAATAAATTTTTAACTTTATAACGTTTTCTTTTTCAAACGACTTCACAAAAAGGAGGAGGTTCTCAATTCGACTGTATTTTTGAAGTGGAAACTTCTTTAGGCACGTTGGGCAATTTCGGGACGGAGAAAAAGCATTGACATATGTACATAATATATTTCCTATTACTAGGCGTCTTTTGTTGCGCAACCCACGATTTCAGCATTTACTAATACCGAAAGCGATTACCTACTGCAAAAATATACGCACGCCAAAATATTACAGTTAAAACTTCCCTTGAAATATAAAGTTCACTCCAGTTTAGAAACTGAACACTGAAACTGCTTATTTGTACAATAAAAATATGAAGCTAAATACCTATTAACATCTACACTAATTCTGACGAGAAACGTGGTCTTCCGCTAGATGGCGCTCGTAGTAGTATCAACGAAAATACTTTCTCCTAGTGTTTTATCTTTCATTAATTGATAAATAACAGAGCATCAAAATCAAAAGTCCATTTTACCACATTTACTCCCCAGAGCCTCCTGCCCGCTGCCTCATATGGGGTATTTGGTATTTGCCATAGTTTCCATTCTTGGTAGGCGGGTTGGCTACCGTAGATTTTTATTATATTCAGTGTTATTAAGAACATATTGCTGCCCATTTCCTGATTCTTTTTCTACCGCTTAATACTATCACAGCCGCCTCCTAGAAAACTCATGGGATGATATGGGGAAGCGGGTATTCTTACGCCGAGACTACACAGCACCTACTAATTTATCTACATAGTACCAAATTTCATAGAATAAGTCCAGTAGTTTTCGTGTGAGATACGAACATAAACAATTCTAAACGCCACTAATTTAGCTTCAGTATTATTTATTTCCCAGCAAAACATAAATGTGAAAAGGAGGCCAAGTTCGACACAAACGAATTTCGGTGTTGTCAGTTTTACTGATAAACAGATTTGAGATCTGAGCAAACGCCAAGCTACATAACAGTTGCTTAAAGCAGAGGATCTATAGGAATGTATAACGTTATTTTAGCTATGAATCTTGGCGCCAGTAACTACTCTCGTATCTCGTAATTATACAACCAAACTTAATAAAAACACATGTAAAATTAACAACTAATAACAGAATTTACCATCAACATCATCATAATTACAGCCCATCACAAGTCCACTGCTGATTGCTGAACATAGACCTCCCTTAAGAAATGGCACAAACCGTGGTCCTGAGCTCTGCATCCATCCACTTCCTGCATCTCCTGCCAGGTCGTCACTTCATTTAGTGGAGGGCTTCCCTATACTTCGCTTACTAGTACGAGGCTGCCACTCGAGAAACTTTCTTCGCCATCAATTGTCAATTCAATGCCCGTTACCACTTCATCTTACTGATCCGTCCCAATTAATAATAATTATGATGTAACACAAATCCAATATACATCTAACTGACAGGAGCACCGGTTAAGGAGGGTCTTTCAGAATCCTCTTAGTCTCCAGATAATGCAGAGGTAATAAAACCACATACAAATGGCAAATTTTTCTTTTAAATTAATTTTTTTTTATGTTCAAGTTTTTTGAATAAAAGTTATTTCTTGACGTTTGAATACTGATTCTGCTAAAGCACTTAACGGGAACCACAGGGTTTTTGTTACATATTGTATAGATAGGAATTGATATATTAGGGTAAGTAAGCGGTAGTACCCATGACTATTTTTGATACCTATGATTTGAATTAAAAGTATTTATCCAAGTATATATATTTGAATACTATACAAACTAAAATAATTGATTTGAGTAAAAATTAAAAGGTATCCATTGTAGATAAATAATTTTATTTACTTTCAACCAAAATAATCTAAGTTCTCTGAACGTGTATGTGAAATTTACACGATGGCATTGATTGAACCTCTGCTGTAACCACACTGTTGATGCATAAATTTGCAAGGCCTCCTCTTATAAGTCCACATGTATATGCAACATACTGAAAGTAAAATAAAATTTTCATTGTATGAGATTTCTAATGTAAGCAGTTCTTAATTATTTTTATTAAATGTTTATATAGATCTGTCATTTTAAAAGGTTGTGGATTGTATTTGACTGTATAAAGTAATAATATACAGTTTTCTGCAGTTTACTATTTAAATTAACATAACTTCTGTTATTACAAAAGGTAGTTTATAATTAGTCTCAAGTTTAAACTAAAATACATACATAAACACTCACGCCTGTCACCCAAACGGGTAGGCAGAAACTATGGACTTCCATTTGGCACAATCCTCACATACCTCTCTCACATCCTTCACATCCATACATAGGTAGGTAATGCATACATGCTCGTTGGTTAATGGTACTCTTAATTTGCACCATCTTCTATATATCGTCAATTTGGTCGATATATTTCCGACTAGGACGTGCCGACTCTGCCATTCCTTTAAACTAAAATATGTTTCATCAAAGAAGTCGTATAGAAAATATGTGAATCAAAATGTCTAATTTTTTAAAAAGTTCTTTTGTGAGGAAGAGGAAGAGTATTCTTAATGCCTTGGCCTGGTTTGGATAACGCGAATATTCGTGTTCGCAATGTGTTTTACCGCATCGTCGCCAAGACTTCACTTGAACTTCGGGTAAAGCCGAAGGCACTTGGTTCTGCTGTCGATGAGCTCTCGCACATCAAAGAATTTTATGAACATCGCTTTTGCGGCCCCTCTTCAGTCGGTATATTCAATCAATCAATCAATATTATTTGCGTTTGCGTATGCGCGCAAAGTTTAAACACACTTATTGCACTTTGCCATCTAGTGGCAGTTTTTCAATGTACATTTATAAGCGTATACAATGTTCAAAGTTTGAGCGGCCACCAAGCAATTTCTAATATGTTGTTTTAATTATGCAACATGACACATGTTCTTTTTAAAAATATATCCCACTATGTTACTTTGTTCTTACTGGACAGAAGTATTTTTCGCACCAATGATAAATTAAAGATGACTCATCAAATATGATTTTTTTGAATAAAAAAAATATATTTCTATAAAGTATTATTAAAGGTAGCCATTTATTACAGGAGAGTGGTGGCCGCGTTAGAAATTTCATCACCCTGTTTCGTCTCGTAGGATATATCAGAAAAAAGTTATGGCTACCAATAGACGATAGTATACTGTCTAATTTATGCCAGACTTAAAATATTCAGACCAGCATCATATGTCGTGAATGCACGAACCTTTTCAAAACTAACATTACAGCCATTACAATAAAATTGTAGGTAGTCACCGTAACATTAATATTGAAAGTTATTCATCGTAGATAGATAATTTTATCTCATTATAGAAATAATCTACATTCTCTGAACATATACATAAATTAAATTTATATGATGGAATTCTGAGTCATCTTTGGGATAAATATAAGTGTATATATTTGAATTTTTTCACACATTTGCACTTACATTTTGTACATTAGTCTGGCATGTGCATTTACATTCAGAAATTCTATATTTTAACACTAAATAACCAGGCCACAAGAAAGAGACGAGATCTTTGAGGGTTGTGTGAGAATAAAAAATAAAGTTAATGTAGCAAAAATGATTTGACACCAATAAATTACACAGGGGGATTGCCATTTTCAATTTCGGTTTTTGGAGTGTCAGTGCAACAGAATATCGTGACTGACGTGATGTGAACTCCTAAGTGATGTGACCATGTATATTCGCCATTGCCCAAAATATACATAGATAATATATATATTAAATATACTAACATAAATAATACATAAATAAATAAAAGCCCAACCAGATGGAAGCCCTTGGGAGGGGAGACCAAACGGCCGAGGGTTAGGGGGAAAGAGAAAGAAACCGGCGGACGATGCGGGCGGCATCGAGGAGCACCGCCTTCTGCATTTGAGCATGGAGCGAGCCGTCATGGAGTCGCAGTCGCCTCAGGTGACCCGAGAGGCTGACCAGGATTGGCCCGTTTTCAGAAACGACTACAGGAAGAATTTCGGCCGGCAAACCACCCTACGTCGGTCACCTCGTGAACCAGGACCAGATATTTAGTTTTCTTATCTGTTTCGGTTTTCACGAGGTTCTCGTCATATGGAATGGTAAAGTCGACCAAATATTCTTGACTGTGCCCGGTCCATTAGAACAATATCAGGCTTATTTCCAAGAATAGTCCTGTCCGTGATGATGGCCCGGTCACAGTAGAGCCTGGCACAGTCATTATTATTATTATATAATATACCCCAATTCAAATTACGAAAATAATATTCTATGTAGATAAATTGTTGTGTAAGATTTTTATTGTAGTATAGAGTTATAAATAATAATATTACACTACCTCCACTTCTAAAGCCTTGACAAGGCGCCTGGACTGGCTGTTAAAAATCCCCTGAAATCCGTCTAACACCAGTTGACTAAAAGCTGGGCCTAGTAGTTTTCGATGACAAAAATATGTGGTAGAGCCACGCTGCAGCTATAAGTTGTAGCACAAATGGGTCGGCTCAATGTAGGTAGGAGTAGAACCACACTCTCAGAATAGGAGTAGGAGCTTAAGGCTACTGTGTTTCTTATGGTGAGTGTAGAGAACTGAAGACCTTTTTTACTGAAAATGAGGCATTTCATCCTTAGGGTTGACAATGCATCTGCATTTTAGTTTTTAATCGAGAATAAATGTAGATGTCCATGGGCTGCAGCATCCACTTACCATTAGGTGGACTGTGTGCTCGTTTGTCACCCTTATTCCATAAAAAAAGTTTTCTTGCACAAATGTTTTTGCGGTGAGTGCGGTCTAGGCATAAGTCATAGTTTAAACACGAGACTATCATTAACCATGGTTTGTAATTAGACAGAAGTTAAGTATTCAGTAAAGTGTAAATTAGGAATTATATTTGATATTACATGTATAGAAAATTAGAATAAATAAAATTGTTAAAACATACTCTTGGAGCAAATTCCAAATATTGTTGGCTGTTGGAAAAGTTTGTGAGGAAGCGGAAAGCATTGTCCTGTAGAACATAAACACCTTGATGGTTTGTTCGTAGATTGTCAATTTGTTTCTTATAGATACAAGTCCAGAAATCAGTGCATATGAATTTCATTGTATCTAACTCATCTTTGAACCTTGGCCAATCTCTAGTTAATCTCTCCATCATTTTATATCCAGCTGCAAAACCAATATACTCGACAACAGACAAGTCTACATCCTGCAAATAACAAGTACCAAAAGTAATAAATTTAAGAAGAGGAGACATATTTCATAGATTAATATATAAAACAATAGAAAAACATAGTTACAAAACTGTTTTACTACTTAATAACATATCTGAATATAGAGCAAGAGTATGAAAGCTATCCATGTATGTGAGCACTGAGGGAGCATGCTGGGAATTCGCAAAATGAATTGCTAAGGATTTAATAGTGGGACCTTAAACAAATGTAGAACAAATTCTGGAATTTGTAAAAGAATATATATATATAAAAAGTTACAGGCATTAAAGTGTGGTCCCTTAGTTCAAACAGTCTATCAGTAAGATCTCAGAAAGTATCTTAAAAATGAAGTTAATGTGATGACAGGTATTTCGTAAAGAATTTGTAAAGCTTTTTGTCTAAGTAACGAGACGTAAAGTGTTAAAAATAAAAGAAACAAATATCTAAACTGTGGTCCCTCAGTCCACACCGTATTTTTTATAAATTTGTGAAAATTTCCTAATGAAATTATTTAAATCGCACTTTTTTCTAGTTAAGGTGTTAGTAGAAGTATTAAAGATTTTTTTTAGAAACAGATATAGGACTAAATATTAGCAGGATTTGAAGATAGGTAGGTTAAAATCGGTCCCTCATTCCACACAACTCCAGACATGTATTGTTGCTAGCTGTTTGATGAAAGGAATATAAAAAGGTGTATTGTTCTTATAACATTCATACGTTACATCCTAAGGTAACATATGAACTTTAAAGTTTCTACTAAATAATAGAAAACTGTATATTGATAACTAAGATAAATAAGATAAGATTCTATGTAAATACACCCATTAGGGTGATCACAACATTTTTTTATTATTTTATTTTGAGTTAAAAAAATACGCTTTGGGAATGGATATTAAAAAACATGTGTGCAGTTCACACATCTGCCGTCCTTACGATAAGTGCAATAACTCGGGTTTTTGGGCTTACTGACTTAAGTACATATTCGTAATCAGGAAAATGAGCTCTATATTTTCTTCTTAGACGTCTTTTTTGTATTGTCAGTAGATTCAGTTCTTTTGATAAGCATAACTGCAATATCTAATATTACTATTTGTAACTTGCATATCATGAACGAAATAATTTGAGTTATGGCATGATTAGCTATAATATTTTTCGATATAACTTTTACTTACTTTAAACTTTAACTTTTAATTACCGCAATAAGTTCAGTTATTGAACTTATGATTAGTGCATTTTTTGCAATTGAGGGGAACATTTACTAATCATTAGCGCAACAAATAACAGATATGTTAAGGAATCTTATTATTTAAAATTTTAAGCTTACAAAATCTAGTAATAACAAGTAAAGTTAGTGCGTAATAAAATGCAATTTGACTTCGAGTTGTTGCGGTTATGAATAGTAAAGAAGGAGCGAGGGGTGTGACTTGAGGAGAAGTGATATTGCTTTGCACCGTGTACGCGTAGGAGGTTCATCGCGGCGCACTAAGCGATCGATATCCCATCGAATGATAGCATCTTCATCATTCACCACCAGTTAAATCTTCAAGCTCAATTCAAGATTCTGACGCGGATACAGTGACATTGCCTGCTATTCAAAAATAACCAATTTCTATAGATTGAAATCAATTTTGGTCGCATCCTCCAGATTACAACGATTTTAAAATAGTTTCTGATTTCCGAAATAAATATAGTAATTCTTTTAATGTGATTCGAGATATTGATCTTAATATTCTTGTTTCTAAAATTCAAGAAATAGAACAGCCTGTTACTCCTTCTTCATTCATCTAATCAATAAAGTAGCTCAGGGTGTAGATTTATTCTGCTGTTCCTTGGGTGAATTCACAAAAATGACATTATATGTATTGTGTTATAATAGTAGATAAGTTGTGTTCTGTCCTTGTTACATTAGATAGTTTTATGTGCCGACACTGTCGTATTAGGTACGCCGGTAAAGAAGAAATAAATAAATAAATAAAAATAAATCTTTCCATGACAATCCTTCCATTATCTGACAAAGATGATTGTGACAATAGTAAAGTTAACATGGTTGAGGACTCCAACGACAGCGTCAAAGAACTTACCAAACCAAACTTAAAAAAGAAGAAAGGAAGCATTGATGCAAAGTTAGCATTAAAACCACCATGTGACAGTAAATATAGACAAAATCAAAAAAATTATGACAAAGTTTACAGAAGAAATTTTAATGGATAACCACGATCGGTACGTAAATTTAAGTTAAGTCAAACTTAAGAGTCAAGAGGGGTTATAAAAGGAATGGTTGAACCATATGCCGTAAAAACCCGAACAAAAACGGACAATATAACCACCAAAGAAATGAAATATTTCTTATCGCCATCATTTTATTGTGATCAATAAAAAAAAATTAGTTTGTCAGGTTTTCTTTCTGACAACACTTGGATATAAGCCAACAAAAAATAGACACACATTCATAAGACGAAAGAGATATACGGGGAAGCTATGAACGTAAAAATTCATTAGACAAAAACATAATTAAAGAACATTTTCAAAGTTTAAATCCAACAATATCCATACAATTATAGCCGCGAACATGCTCCCAATAAGTTTTATTTACCCAGTAACTTAAATATTATGATGATGTATTGGTGCGTCATCGATAATATTTAAGTAATATAATAAATTATTAACATATTTTATAGAAAAATATACGATTATGCAGATATCTCTCAAGATATATCGCAAGGTTGTAAAAGAAATTAACGTTTCCTTTGGTCATCTCGGTCATCGAGGGATGTGAGTAGTGTGCTCTACATAATTCTCATAATGAACGTATTCAAGAAAGTTGTGAACTGTGTATTCAATATGAAACACAAGTTACGCTACATACAAACTAGAGAAGTATACCAAAATGACAAGGAAGCATTTTCTATCGACAAAGATTGTATTTCCTTTCCTAAAGATTTGATTATATGTCTGAACAATTTATTTTTTATTTTTAGGGAGTAAAGTGATATTTTTGTAACATTTTTAACAACTGTTAATATTAAAAATTAATATATTCATACGCAGTAATCTTTTTTCAAAAAAATTGAACGTGACAGCGCCGATTGTGCCTCTTTGTCGCTCGTTAGCCTGAAGCCTTAAATGGAACGCCTCAGAGCGAGGTAAGGTACGACTTTCCATTTACTCCCATCGAGTTTGGTGTTGATACATATTTTTACAGAAAGGTTACATTTTTATAAGCACACACACAAAGTTTCAATATGCGGAAACACGTATTTTTTGAGAAATAAATTAATAAAAATCACTTATTTTAACAATATTTTGTTGTTTTTTTTAACTGACTTAACGGCTATGGGTTCTAGCCCTTTTGAGCCTACTTTATTACGAATTTCCATTGACATTCGTCGAATTGAGGGGAGGGGGGGGGGGAGAAGAGGTGTAGGGGGTCTAATTCAGAGGGATTTCAGTATATATTTTGAGACTGCAACATCTCCAGCGCTGCGGGAAGAGCAGCCTCTACGCCTTTGCGTAACAAATCGCAGGCATCCTCTACGATTTGTTACAGCAGGCGGAGGCTACTCCCCCTACGTGCCTCCGGTTCTATATAACCACTCTAGGGGTAGGACAGACTCGTACCACGTGAAGTCGGGGTCAATAAATTTGGTTCTTTGACATAAGCAGAACCTAACCTATTTTATTTATTATCTGCCCTAATAGGTACTGTTAAAATAAACATCCTTGAAAATCGCCATTAAAACTGATTTTACTGATAAGAGATCATTTATTGTATTATCTTTCTTTTTTCCATAAGAAATCATTTATTATGGTATCTTATAAATGCAAACAGGAAAATATATCTATATTTTAGAAATCCATTTTTTGTGATATCACGACAGCTTACTATTAGAATCGATTTAAAAATCTATCTTTTTCGGAAAGAATCGACATCTGTACTGACGACGACAATGACATTACAAAATGGCGCCAGTTTTACACTAGGAATGTAACATAAACATTGCAAAAATAATTAATTTTCAAATAATGTCTTTTCTCAAAAAGTACGTGTTTCCGCATATTGAAACTTTATGTGTGTGCTTATAATAGTGTAACTTTTATGTAAAAATACGTATCAATCCCCAACTCGATGGGAGTAAATGGAAAGCTAAGCCCGAGGTAATGCCGCATGAGTCATGTTTTTTTCATGCGTGCAGCCAGCTTCATCGTAGAAAACTAAACTACGAGAGAATGTGATGAATGCAGAGTATTAGGAGTAGGATAAATTTGTCTCACATGCACTGAGGGACCACACAGATAGATATTTCAATATTCAATTCTTAGCAATTCATTTCATGAATTTCCAGCATGGTCCCACAACATAAGATAAAAATAACAACTTTCAAAATGTGGTGGCTTGTACTAACTTGTGGTGGTACTAAAAAGTTTGAAGCATTATCCAAATTGAATGAAGGCATCAACTTCAACTTGGTATAAATTTGGTAAAAATTCTGACCCAATTTGTACTAACTCGTGACAGGGCATGTGACAGGCCCCTTAATCTAAATAATCCAGAGGGTGGTACTAATCGAGACGAAATAATAAGCTAGGCATAAAAAATCAAAATATCTACTAATATGGGGCATCAACATGTAGTGCTAAAATGTATTGCATAGTAATTAGGTAACTTCTGAACTTCTGGTATTGTGTAGTTAAACTAGAGAAGCAATCTTCTCTTGTTACTTTTAATCTTCTCTGACCACGACCAATTTAATACTTTTAATTAAGTTCTAAAATATTTATCTTACAATTACTTACTTTACTTCCGTTAGTACTTTTTGAATTTTCCAGAGCATAATTAATTATTTCTGAATGCAGCAATTCAAACACTATATTATCATCAGCCATCCTTGTTGTGCACTATTCACATTATAGATAGTAAGCCTTGCTTTGTAATAAACCAAACAATAAACTGTCGGCAAATTGCCGTTATTTGTAGTAAATGATGACTTCCATTATTTAAAATAAAATAATTCTACCATAGAAGTATGTAACAATGTGTAAAAATTTAATAAACACATAGATAAATATATATGTAGCACGCTATGTGTTTTTTTAAACTGGCTTTACGGCTCTGGGTTCTAGCCCTTCTGAGCCTGAAGTTACAATGTATTAACTTTACGATACATTCATCAAAAATTCACTTTCACATTGATTCTGGAGGTGGGCAAAGTGTATTATTTTTGCGATCGGAACATTTGCATCTTGATCACTGAAATGTTCCGAAACACTGATATGTTTCATTTGGCTCATTTGGATCATCGACTCAAAAGATATAAAAGAAAGAATGTTCCGAATACATTAAATTGCGTCGCGGGCGTTTATTACTGACTTATCCGTGAAATGTTATGTGGCAACAATGCCGAATAATATAAGTGCTTAGATTATTTATTGTGGACCGTAATAAGATTGTATATGAAATCAATTCTCCTTCATACTTTAACAAAAAGGTCACTATGTCAACTCATTATTTACAAAAATGTCCATTTTCACAAAACAGAAATGTCTATGTACACAGAATTTACTCGTAAAGTATCATAACTCTAAACTTTATGATGAAAAGGAAGAAAGTAAAGTCACAATAATTACTACGCAAAGAAATCCTAAATATAACTCAGTATGTTTTCGTAATCAGGCGCTAATGAATATAAACAATTTGACAAGTGCAGCATCAACGTAAAATGACAACTTGTTAATGCAAACATTACATACAAAAAACGACTGTATAGTATTTGACACATAAGCGCCTTAATGGTAATTTTTACGTGCATGAATAACGTCAGTGAAAATCCGTACGAGTTGAGTGATACACTTCTTATTTCTTATCTCTATCTGACTTGTGTGGATTATAATTATTTCGCCCGCTCACTCGCCACTCGTGAGTCAATAGTTAAATTAATCATTGTCTCAGTCTGTCTCCCTCGCTCGTGGCTCAGTCGCCTCGCAAGCGACGCGTCGCGCGAAATGAACAAAGAGCAAAGTAATGTTTCTCACTTTTCTATTTTTCACTGTTCCAGATCCAAATGATATATTTGAAACGTTGTTACTGAACCAATCTTTTGCGTCACTTCAGTGAGTCGTTTCCGTAAAGAGATACACACGCCTAATTGATTCACAGTTTGTTTACGTATGCACAATAGTGTTTCTATATAGTTTGTGGTATGCACTATTGTTTAATAACACGTTGTTCTCATTTTTATATATCTTGGACACCAGATATAAAGGAATATAATGGTCGGAAGAATTTTTCATCAGCTAATAAACTTTGAAGAGTATCAGGAACTTTATCATTGTTAAGGCCTTAACAGTGGTTGAAATGCCTAAATCTAGGATATTTCAGAAAAAAAATCTGAATAACTGTTCATTTAATCCACAAAGAAAAAATACAGGGTAACAGAAGAGGATTTGGTAAATGTTTTTAATTTAACAAAATTGTATTTTTATCAACCCCTTATTAGAAAAAAAATCCCCAAAAAGTACCTATCTTTGTCATATTTTACAAAATTTCTCCAAAACGGCACAAGTTTTTTAAATAGTTCTTACACTACAAAAAAGGTCTTAAAAATATTAATATTTTTAATTGACAGTTTTATTTTTATTACCCGTTTTATAAGAGAATATATCATTTTTCCCTGAAATTGAAACATTTACGCGAGCGCGCATGCTCCGTCGCCATATAAGCTCTGTCACAGTCACAGTCCGTTTTCGGACATCGTCGAGGGTGGACTACACGTCGGTGTTAGAGCGACTTCGTTCAAATATATATTAGTTTTTTATAAGTTTATACTCAATTATAAATATTTTTATGACTAAAAATACTTAATTTAGTTAATACCTGTACACTGGTAACTGTAAATATTATTTTCTAAATAAATGAATTTTTAAAGTGCAAAAAGAAGAAGAAATTTTCGTGGCGACGTTGATTAGTGAAATTGAAAAATTCATATTTATATAATTTAGATGTGGAACGACGAACATGCTCTCGTTACTTAGATTTCGATAGTTTTTAATACCTATGTAATTTTATTGTTGCATATTTTTATTAATTAGTTGATACTGAATTTTATAATTATGTATTACAATAAAACGCTGTTTTTATGAGTATGACTTTATAAAATATTGTTGGGGAGGGAAATATAGATACAGATACTTACATTTAGGTACACTGTTATCAAATTAAACCAAACAATTTAAATAAATAATAAAAATGGTGCTTCCCTAAGTATAAATAACTATATAAAGACATTCTTCGGTTTATGTTTTTTTTGTTGGACAAACTATCATCTAAAAATGTAAAAATTTTAAATTGGAGAGGGGTTTCTCTACGTGATAAAGTTAGAAATGAAGATATTCGCAGTAGAACCAGAGTAACTGACATAGCCCAACGGAATATTAAAGTGAAATGGCAATGGGCTGGCTATATAACTTAGAAAACCGATAAAAAATAGGGAGAAAGGTTCTCGAGTGGCAACCTCGTATAGGTAAGCGAAGTAGTACTCAACCTTTATTCCTCTTCACGTATTCTTATACGCTTTTCTTCACACATACACACACACTCACACACACAAATAGGTCACAAATAGGTTGCAAAATTTGCAATTTATATTTTATTATTTAATAATACTTACCTAGTACTACGAGTATTAGGCAAGAGTGAATAGGTTTTTGTTAAGTCAGTGCAATTCACCATGTTAGGCTACATAACCAGCGATGGGATTGTAGTTGCTTTACTACAAGCTGGGTAAAAATAGTAAAAAAAATTACCCTGTGAAAGTTTGCATTTAGATATAACTTTTCTAACCAACCATAAAAATATGATAAGAATATATATATAAGTAAGTATAAAGGTTGCCTCACACGGGACAGTAATAATATAATTTTATATCTTCCATTATCTACGCATGAAAACTTTTAAAATCTCTCAATCCCGAGGTATGTGCATATTAAGAGGCTGAATAGAGCCACATTGATATGCATGGGGATCGTTTTGTAATTTTACGTCGTTATCGAAAAAAATTGTACGTATTTCAGGTGGCGGTTTGTAAAACACGATTCCACAAAAATTCACTCAATAGAAAATAATAGCAAAGTTGCTTCTGAAAATACTTAAATTTTTAACGTCAATTTTTTCTTACGTGGTAGAGCCATGCTGCAGCTATATTAGTAGTAGTTATAGTTGTAGCACGAATGGGTCGGCTCGACCGGTGAATGGCCACGCTTGCCTTGCCTTAAGGATATTCCGCCACTGTTCAGAGGTAAGATCTCATCGTAGTTCACAAAACGAGCCCAAACTCAGCACACCTATTACTATTACTACTCTACGAGGAGTTCCAGTAGCATTCACCGAAGTACACTCTCAAGTCGGGGTAAGGTCTCATCATAACTAACATAACGATCCCAATCTCAGCACACGTAGTTCTACTCGTCGAGGAGTTCCAGTAGCAGATAACGAAGTACACCTTTAGGTCTCCATAAAGTCCAAGAGTATATTTATATATAAATCCTGTGTAATTGTAGCGAAACAAAATATTGTAATAAAATTCGTGATTATAAAAATAATAATATCTTACCTTGGTATGTATCAAATTTGGTTTTTGGAATATTTTTTATTTCTAAAGCGATCGATATTTTTCAGCACGATCCGCTGTAACAAACGACTACTCAAGACAGCGGCTGAGCCCGGAGTTAAAAATTAAAAAAATACTCTGTAGCCGGGTGTGAGGCAAAGTGTATTTAGTAAAATAAATTAATGCAAGGCTGCTCAAAACACCGAAAATTTCGTTATTTCTTAGCCGAAAAATATTACTTATAACTAAACAAAACAAAATTAAACTACCATTTACATTCCATGACTTCCCACATGATATATGAAGAGTTTAAAAAATAGATTGAGTTGAACAATTGATATTTTCAAAAGTTATCGTGTTTACGCCACCATGCAGACTTGATGAATTTAAACCTTATGCCACTAAAACCGCTTTTTTTATGTAAAAATAGCAATTGATCGATTTAAAAAAAAAATAAGGTCAACAATAATTTATCTTAATGTGACAAAACGTTGCAATTTTGATTTATCGTCGCTAGTAGAACATACATACGCGCGTAGCGCTTAAGGCATACAATAGCCATAGCTATAAGAATTTCGTTCTTACTTTAGGATATTCTCTAAGGCCGTATACAGAAAGAAAGCTGGTAGGCGGCGCCGATCTACCAGCGCTTATCGGCGCTGGTCTACAGTTACATAAAGCAAGCCGATTGAAGCAGAGCGAGCAAAATGTCGCACTCGTCGTACGATGAATTAGTTTTGTTAGAAAATGTGTATTTTAAAATGCCAAAATAAGCTATACATCCTATTAATAGAGAAAGGAGTCGTTTCGAAGAATACCATAATTAATTTGTAAAACAATTGAAATTTGATGATTTGATGAATTGAAAATGTTTTAACGTGGTTTAAATATACACTTGTACAGTCAACAACAGATCAAGATCATTTAAGATTTGTACCGACATTATTATTTTGTAACTGGCTATTCCCCGCGACTTTGCCCGCGTGTAATTTAGGGTTTTTATTTTTTTGCAAGGAACCCTAATTATTTTTGTAAAATAAAAGTACCCTAAGTTACTCCTTATGATATCAGCTATGTGCCAGTAAAAGTCCCGTCAAAATCAGTCCAGCCGTTTCGGAGTTTAGCCGGAACAAACAGACAGACAGACAGACGGACAGACAGACAAAAATTTTAAAAAGTGTATTTTTGTTATAAGTACTGTTTATACTTTCATATGCATTTAGTAAAACGTTGTAATTTTGATATTACGAACAGACACTTCAATTTTATTTATTTAATATA